ATCAAGCAGATTAGTCAAAATCTTCCAGATATTAGCATCTTTCAGTTGATCAAGAATTAAAAAGTTTTGCTCAGTCTTTGGGGGGTCGGAAAATGCACGTGACATAACTCTGAATCCAAATAGGACTTTTTTCTGAATCTCAGGAGCATCAGCACTCTGCATTCAGACAGAACATTAGGTTCTAGATGGTAAAACTTAAAAGGGAAAAATTCCAACCAGAAATTTATAAAAGAAAAAATCTTCAACTAGATTTGGTCGAACCTGTTGCGTCTGCTTGATTGACAAATATCTTTGCATTTCTTGTTGTATCCTAAAGGTCAAAAAAATTCTCCAAGATCAATCTTCAGTATCGAAAAAATGGACAGCATGATAACGATCATTCAAAATAATTTAAGTGCAATAAAAAAGTCATCAAATACACCTCTGTCTTTGCTCCAGTATCTTCTCAAAAGCTTTGGTCTCCACTTTGTCAAACCCGGAAAAGATTTGTATCCAATGCTTAACTTTATCTCTTACAGAGAAATCACTAGGAAACAGTGAACTGCATAGAATATACTCAATTGTATCTGACCTGCAACACATATAAAATATTTAGAACATCTTTCCCAAAGGTTATGATAATATTCAACTAGAATTAAGTTACCCACAAAAATATAAGAAAAGGAGCCAGCCAGGCAGGGTTCAAAAATGTTTTAGACAAATGTCCCACCTGAAATCTTTGTCATAAAGACATCTCAAGATTTTTCCAGGAATCCAATCAAAATCGCCAGTGTCTACCTTCCCATCAGCACACCGTAAGCAATATACCCGGAACAACTCAGTCAACCTTTCCATTGTGTATGTTTTTACGAGTATCTGAATTAGAAAAGGAACTATGAGTTCAAATGTCTTCAAATTTTAGTATGCAACCATCAGAGACAACCAGACTGAATACATAAAACGTACAGCTTTGTCACGAAGCCGTTCAGCAACTAACTTCATAGTGTCAACTGGAATCGACGTCAATGCACTCACAGCCACATCACAAATAACAGCAACAACTTGTTTGCGGATATTCTCATCATAATCCAAGAGCCGGTCACAGAGAGCAGCTACATAAGTATTAACACTAAAAGATTAGTCAATTCTAATTTATATTAGTGGCATGATAAAGAAAGACTTACATATAATTTGAGGAGCCTCAGCTCTCAAAGGATCCGAAAGCAAACAGTTCTTAATATGGTCAAGGATGGCCATCCTAACTTCAACTACCCTATCGGTCAGCCTTTTCAGAAACTCCAAAAAAATTGAACCGAACTCTTCAGAGATGACACGTCCAGGCAAGGAAAACAACTCTCCAACCAATCCAACCACTTTCAAACGAGTTTCCAGTTTATCCGCCTGTATATGTTAACAGTATGCATTATGTATTATTCAATACCAATCTACTTGAAAAGATGAGCTCATACCACAAGAAGTATTGAAACAACAAATGGATAAAAGTGACTATTCAAACAAAATACATAATAATAAAAGTATTGTGCATGGTTCAAGAGTCATGATGACATTTGACGTGCAAGAAAGTGGCAAAAGACCAAAAATAATATTATACCAAAAGTTCTCCAGTGAGATATGGTGCAACTCCAGATAGGGCCTGAGGAGCACAGCGGTACAAATCATAGATAACCTCATGGTAGTCAATTTGACTGCTGGAAAATCGGCTATCTCCAGACATTGAAGAGATAAGGAACTGCTTTATGTCAGATTCAACTTTGGGCGCACACTGCTCTATGACTTTCATAGCAAGTCTTCTTGCAGCATCTCTAACGTCCTGCCATCATAAATGCAGAATATGAGGTGTCTGATATTCCATAAAACAACGAATCCTAAATTGGAATATAATCAGTGGCCAGAGCCAGCAAAGTCAGAATGCTCACACTTCTATTGCGGCCCAATTTAGAGAGTAAAATTAGTAAAAGATGCTCCTGCACATCTTCACTTTCTTCTAAAAGAACAATCATTATATTTTGCATTGATGAGAAAACAATCTCCGGATGGTCATCTCTGCACATACAGAAATAAAACAATCTTTCAGTATGAAGCCCAAAAGAAAAGAAAAAAAAATCACAGAAACCATTCATATTTTGTATTACTAGCCAAGAACACCAACGAAAAGCACAACTAAAAAGTTGAAAATTTAAAGATGTTTTGTGAATCAGCGGAACATTTAATAAATCTGAAAAGAAATCTAGGTTGAAAGTGAAACCCACCTAGCAACATCAAGAAATGTAGTAAATACTTCTTTCACCAGATCATCACATTCAAGATCCAACATCACTACACATGACCTGTACTTTGCAACCGTTTCTAAAATGACAACCCTCCTTCCAAATGATGGACCACTGACATCATTCAACCCAGAAAAAGCGCTCACAATCAGTTGAAAAATATCCTGAAACAAGATAGGAAACAGAAGAAATCAGTAGTGGACATGTCTGTGATCACGGTGCCAGAGGAAATTCAGGACAAACAACCTTCATAATATTATCACTGTAAGGCGCTTCAGGCGCTGTAATACGAGTTATCTCAGAAACGCAGCTTGCAACAAGAAGCTTGACATCCTTGTCTTGATGGTTGAGAATTTCAGGTTTAATAACTGCATCAAGAAAAGGCTGAATGGACTTGAGCACTGCAGGTGGTGGAGACTGCTCCAACTCAGAAAGACAAACAGCAGCTTCCTGCATGTAGCAACACACAAGTTAAGGAGACCACAAGTTTTTTTTGATTAATTAGTCAAGAGTATTGTACGGAAAAGTGTTAAAGGAGAGAGGTATCTTAGTGAACTAACCCAACCAAGTCACCCCAATGAAACCAATCAAAAGCAAATCACACTTCCACAAAGGTGGATGATAAAGATACATCTTAGTCAATGTAGAGAGTACAACTCGACATTCTAACAGCAGACATCATACAAAAGGAAAAGTCGCAAATATAGACACAGAATTGGTTGTCCTAGGAACAATCCCCAGTTTTATGCATGACCTAATTTCGCAAGAACAATCTAGCGTAAACGAAAAAGATGGTACAAACTAACCCTAACACAACTCGAAAGAAGAAAACACTAGCTCAATTAATGAGCATTACCCAGAATGGAAGAGGATCTACAAAGCTGAAAACTTTATATTCGGTTCCGAATTTAAACAGGGAACAGAGATGGAAAAAAAGTTCCCTCCAAACGAAAAAATCGAAACTTTGGACAAATTGTAGAAGATGGGGAATCACCTTTAAGAGTTTGAGCAACGAATCTTTGGAAACAGGAGTTAGGTCAAGCTTCGATCCCAGCTCTTTCAAATGTTCCTCCGGCTTCTGAGCCATGGCGAGTGAAGCAGACAACTCTTAAACCGACGGTGTTAGAGACGAGCCACGAAAAAAGAACAAGGAAACAAAATAGGTTTTTTTGTTTTGAATTTGATGTTCTCAGAGTCACTCTGCGGAAGAAGAAGAAGAAAGCCACATCTGATCTGAGTCTCTCTCTCCGATTTGCTGAGTTACGACGGCTTTGTGACTCTCATCGCTTCCTCATTTTCTCTTATTTTATATTTATGGTCCCTCACTTTCTCTTCTCTTTACCCTTTTACCCCATTCTAAAGCCCATCTTTAAACAGGCCCATTTTTAAAACAAACAGGCCCAATTAGTTTGAGTGGTGGAGTTTCACTTTTTCTTTGACATCCCTTCTTCTTTGCTCTCTCGCGGCAATGGCGGCGGCGACGGGAAATGACGACAACGGCTGCTTCGATAACCAGCCTAAACCAGAATCTGAACCGGCTCCGGTTAACCTTTCGCCTCCTCTGTCGAAGAATGCTCAGAAGAAGCAGCTGAAGCAGCAAAGATACGAAGCGAAGAAAGCTGAGAAGAAGGCACAGGAGAAGGAGCAGAAGAGGAAAGAAGGAGAGAGAAAGCTTAAGGAATGGGAAGAAACCCTAGCAAACGCGACGGAGGAAGAGAGGCTGAAGCTGATTGAGTCGAGGAAGAGTCTTCGGAAAGAGAGAATGGAGAAGAGATCGGAGGAGAAGGAGAAGAAGATGGAGAGGCTTAATCGAGCTAAAGAAATAGGTCAAAAGATCGTAGTAGATGTTGATTTTGCTCATCTTATGTCTGAGTCTGAGATCTCAAGCCTCGTTCAGCAGATTATGTATTGCTATGCTGTGAATGGGAGAAGCACTTCACCTTGTCATCTATGGCTTACAGGAGTCCAAGGGAAGATGAGTACTGAGCTTGACAAGCTTCCTGGTTTTGAGAAATGGTTCATTGAGAAGGAAAGTAGGTGTTACATTGAGGCCATGGCTGATCAGAAAGATCATTTGGTCTATCTTACGGCTGACTCTGAAACTGTTTTGGATGATCTTGACCTCAAGCATATCTACATTATCGGTGGCTTAGTGGATCGAAACCGATTCAAAGGGATCACCATGACCAAGGCTCAAGAACAAGGCATTAAAACAGCTAAGCTTCCCATAGGAGAGTATATGAAAATGTCAAGTTCTCAGGTAACTAAATGGCCACTTCAATTCTTGTCTCATTGTGCACAACACGAAAGTCCTCTCTTTTATGTACTTTCTTAATGTAAGAATTGTGGTTTTTATTGATTTAGGTTCTCACTGTGAACCAAGTTTTGGAGATACTCGTCAAGTTTCTGGAGACTAGGGACTGGAAAACAGCCTTCTTCACTGTCATTCCTCAGAGGAAAAGAACCGGACTTGATCCTGTTGATTGTTCGAAATTGGAACCTCTTTCTGAAGAGCATCTGGAGGAAGAGGCTGAGGCAGACGAGAGTGATCTTCTGGAGAGGAAAAAGGTATGCGTTGAAGTTCCTCTAGAAAGTAGTAGCTAGATTATGCGTATGAGAGTTGTTTCTGTAGCTGAGAATTGGAATCTGGAATATTTAGTCCCTTTATGTATGTTGAGGCAAGACACATTGCGAATTTCACCGTCATTTTCGTAAGATCACATGCATGCGGTTTGGAAAACTAATGCTTTATTGACACACTTTTTACCACAAGACAGATCAGATGAAAAACACAATGTTCTTTCAACTAGATGACAACCCAAAGAAAAAAGCATCATTGTTTTCGCATAAGTTGAATTCATAAGCTACAGCTTGCGCCTACTAACAGTTATGACTCTCGCTCTGTCAGCTGTCTATGTCATTAGCCATTGTTCTCAGTACTTATGTTGTTGAGTCGGAAATACTTCAACTCTGGCGCCACTTGCTGCTGAAGATGAACCACTCATCTTAGAATTAGGTTCGTTACCACTGAAAACAAACCCGTTCTGATGACGATAATGGTACTGCGTCATGTGAATCCCTGGCACAGGCCCGTAGGCTCCATACTCGGTCATGGTCCCATTAGGCCTCTTGACCACCAGGCCGTTGGTCATACTAACGGATCCAGCACCGCAGCTAACCCCTCTTTCACCCTCCAACTCTCTGTAGCGGTGGAGGTACATTGTGAGGGGTTCGATGTAGTCATCAAAACCGAGCTTGCTCATTGCCCACAAGACGTCCTCAGCAGTGATGGTCTTGCGCTGTTCCCGCTGGCACCGCTCGTTAGCCTCCCCTGTTATGAAGCTGATGTACTCCGAGACACACTCTTGGATCGTCTCCTTGGAGTCATCTGAGATCTTGGCGTGAGCAGGTAAGATCCTCCGCATGATCCGTATCACGTTGGCAATAGGCATGAACCTGTCTTGCTCCCTAACCGTGCACTCCTCTTCACCACCGTTACTGGTTTTGTTAGGCTGGTTGAATTCTGGGGGACGCATACTGCCCTCTGCCATCAAAAAGTTGGCTGGTAATCCTAACAAAAACCAGAAAAATGGAAGTTTTAGTGCATAATGGCTTCGATGACGTCTGCATGCACGGTTTATGAGATTGAAAAGCTATTTCATTCGCTGTTCGTCATGAAAATACTACAGAGATGGCAATGGAGGGATTGCAGAGAATGGTTTCGCATGCAACTGAATGAAGAAGCCTGTGAAAAGAGGCATATGGAGAATGGCACTACCTGGTGGAGAAGGAGTGGTGTTGTTCACGGACAGCTTGCGGTAGCCATGGAAGCCTCCACGTTCCATATCTTTCTTTGTTCTAAATTCACGACTTTTGTGTTTGTGAAAATCCCTATAAATAATAATCAAATCCCGAAATTAAGAAGCATTTGAAGAAGAGAAGTGAATCAGAGAGAGAAGAGAGTAATTGGAATAAAGCTAATAGTGTTGGCAAGTGTCAGCATTTGTAATTTCAGACCTCACAAGTTGTACAACGTGGCAGCCATAGTCGATGTGCCCGAGGATCCTTCTCGTCTCCCTTAGCCGTTACAAAATCCCAATCACCCAACGTATTTTTATTCGAACCTTCTACAAATACAGAGTCGTAGAGTTTAAAAATTAAAAACAAACTACACCAAAATATAAAAATTAAACTCGAGAAATCATCTACAAGTTCTCCTCCCGTTTTGCGTGCCAAAAACACCTATATTTTAAAATCTTTCACTCATTTTTCCCTCTCTCCCGAGGAATTGGTCTTGTAAAAATTTCCAAGTTTCTCAAAGTATGAGCGAGTCTTGCTGTGCTCAGGCTGTTTCCCCCCACCTTCCGTCACTCTCCTGTAATACTTGTTCATGTTCTCCCACTTCTCCTTACACTTTTTAGCAGATCTTTCGTACCCTCTTTCCTTCATTCTTGCTGATATCTCATCCCAAATCGCTCCCTTGTTGATCCCCGTCTTCTCTTCTACATCGCTTCTTGTACTTATCAATGCCTGCACTTCCTCTTGCGGCCACCTTCTCCCGCTACTCCCACTGCCGCTTGAATACCTAAACTTTATCTCCTTTTGTGTCTGAGCGGGTTCACATTTCTCGTCTTTACATTGTTCGGGAAGAATCTGCTGGAGTGGTTGCGGGAATTCAAAGTGTTTAGGGATCTCGATCTCGTCACCAATAACACTTCTGATGAAAGAGATGAGAGACAGGCTGCGTGCCAACTCTTGCTTCCGAGCCTCTTCATTCTGTATCATCCTCTCGATTTCCTGTTGCCTCCAAGCTTCCTCACGGCGTATTCTCTCCCCTTCCATCTTCTCCATCACCTTAATCAACTGGTTATGCATCTTCTCCTGCCGCTTCATCATACTCCCCACCAACTTCTCCAAGAAATGCTCCAGCTTTACCCTTGTTTCCCGCTTTCTTTTACCCGTGACGGTCTTGCGAACATCTGGGGAAGAGTCGCTATCGCTATCAACAGAGGAGCTGCAAAATCAATTGGAACTACTTGTCAAAACTCAAAGCTTCCAACATGGATTTCATTATCTTAGAACTAATCATCCTAAAGTTCCCCAGAATCTATAGACAAACACTGCTTAGAAGTGGTATAAACAACCCTCAGAATATATATATATATATATATATATATATATATATATATATAAAACACTGTAAAAGCTTGTAATGACGCCACATCAGTCTGATTACTATCTGCAAAGTTTAATGCTTTAAGCTGAAGATGTTCAAAGATGCAGCAGTTGGTTACCAATCTAGAATCAAATGAAACCGCAAAGCTCAAGTGTATAAAGAGGAAGAGAATGTGTTTACCAAACAAGCTTATAATAAACGTGAAAAAATTAGTCTCTTACTAATACAAAAAAAGTAACAACTTTTCACAGTAACAGATCCAAACTTGAACAAAAAGCTCACATTTTTTTTAATGGTGAGATTATACCTGAGAGAGAGACCATCCCAAGAGATGCGATTTCGAGCTTGAAACTCCATTTGAAGCGGAAGAGAATCATCATCATCCTTTGAAAACCCACGAGTCAATTGACCACTTTGCTCCACGTCAGCAATCTTGGATCCCAAAGGAGCTTCGAAGCAGCCAAACCCCATCTCCGGCAGCCTATCTAGGGTTCCGGCGAGAATATCTAGAGGATGTCGATCCTCCGACGGAAGCTTAACGCCACACCTGATAGGTTTCAATTTCTGAGGAGGCGAAGCCAAGTCTGCGAGCGTAGCCAAAGCGTCGTCGTTTCCGTGAGAACCCGATTGACGGCTACCGTACATCCACCCGCAACCACCATCTGAGCCATCGAATGGGTTAACATCTTCGTCAAAGTCGTCGCCGACTCGTTTCCGACAGTCGCCGGCGAGAAGTTCCATTTCGGGAAAAGGTAAAAAAAATAAAATGGGCGGCGTGAAAGAAGATACACTGGCCAAAGTAAAAGCAGTTCAAAGGGTAAAAAACTGTATATTTACCTTTATACCCTCAAAGGAGCAACATAACCTCCATTTTATCCTCACTTCACTTCAGTCGTTTTCTTACCCGTTATACAACCCGACCCGACCTGACCTGACCCGAACCGAATATGTTTTTGTGGCTCAGCTAGTAGATACCGACATCATTTTCTTCTCTTTAAATCATACTAGTAAAATGCTAGAAGAAATAAAGAAACGTTAGATCATAATCCTTATTAAGATTTGGAATGTGAGAAGAATTAGAAGAAAATCATTGGTAATTTTATTTCTCTATCAAGCGTGTCATTATACAAACAATCCACATAAACTTTTCCATTTCCGCGCATTAACTTTTGACTTTAATCTTAAACAGAAAATATATTTTTTTAAAAAATTTGCAAATATTTCTACACTGAGAAAGGTATAGTATAAAAATAGATTCGAGGCTAAAAAGTTCCTTCCATATTTATTATTATTTTCATCATAGTTTGGGGAAACTGAAGTGCGTTGGTGGAAAAAAAACCACAGGTTTTGTACGCTCAATCCTTGAAAGAGTGTTCCATTTAGTAATTTTAATAATTTTCAGATTTTGTTTTGTCTGTTTCTTATTTAGGTGTAAGAGAATTGAGAAAGTAATAAAGGGCAAATCTTTTTTTGTGTAAATTATTGAGTTTTTGAAAGTTGTGTGTTTTCTCCTCTAATGATGATGATGAGTTGCCGTTTGGCCAAAAGTTATGGTTTAATCAAATTATTGTTGAGTAATAATAATAATGGCCGTCGTCTTCGTTTTCCTCCGGCTGATGGGTTCTCTGCGTTTCACAGCTGCTTCACCACGAGGGACAGATCCATGTCTGCTTCTTCCTCCACTAATCCCATGTCCCGTGAGGAGGCAACACTGCTTCCGTCTGTTCAAGACAAGTACGGTGGCGTGATGACGGAGATGACTCACCCCATGGATCCTTCTCTCTTCTCCACACTTCTCCGATCCTCTCTCTCTACCTGGACTCTTCAGGTTCTCTCTTCCTTTTTCCCTCTTGTTATATATATGATCTGATTGGATAGGATCAAAATGACAAATTTTGTAATCCGAATTCAGATATTGGTACCGATTTGTTGTTACATAGAAGAATCATTGAAAAAGTTGGTGTCACTATTCCTCTTGAAAATTATTGTATTCTAATGCGGGCCAGAGACTCTCTGTTACTTTGCTGCAAAGAAAGTGAATTTAACTTTTCCACTACAGTAACCATTGATCAATAGGCCGGATAGATGTTGAATAGGACTATGAACCGATCTACTGTGTATGATAGATCGTCTACAAACGTTTTTGTGTATGCAGGGCAAGAAGGGAGTGTGGATCAAATTGCCAAAGCAGCTTATTGGTCTTGCTGAAACTGCTGTTAAGGTGTTGTTGTTACCTGATGCTTAACCTGCAATCAGATTTCTTTAAACCCCCTTTTGTTAATTGTTTGGAGACTCTTCATATCACTGACTGGTTGTGTACTATGCGTAGGAGGGATTCTGGTTTCATCACGCGGAGAAAGACTACTTGATGCTTGTGTATTGGATTCCCAAAGAAGACCATACCCTTCCTGCCAATGCATCTCACCGTGTTGGCATAGGTGCCTTTGTCATTAACCACAACAAAGAGGTGTGATTACTGATGAGATGAGAGATTTTCAGTGTGTCTTTTTGGAACATCTCCTAGAATGTATCACATCTCTTTTTCTGTATTTTTATCCAAAGGTGCTGGTGGTTCAAGAGAAGACAGGGAGATTTCAAGGCCAAGGTATCTGGAAGTTCCCCACCGGAGTTGTGAATGAGGTGCTGCTTCTTATCAAAGCTCATTACGTGGTTAGGTTCAGCTCTCTGATGCGCCTTTCTTTTGTTTGTATTGACATAGGGTGAAGACATCCATGATGGCTCAGTCAGAGAGGTGAAAGAAGAGACCGGAGTGAGCCTTCTTCATGCCTCAACTTTTCACTGTCGTCTTTACAGTTTACATGAGATTAAGGCTAATCCCACTCTTCTTTGCATCGTATGTTTTCAGGTGGATACAGAATTCGACCAAATATTGGCCTTCAGGTTGCAACTCCAACTCCAACCGCATAATCTTCTATATTGCATCAAAACTGATTATTATCTGTTTTAAAATTCTGGCAGACAAACACACAAAGCGTTCTTTGGAAAGTCAGATTTGTTCTTCGTGTGCATGTTAAAGCCCCTTTCTTTGGAGATCAATGCACAGGAGTCAGAGATTGAGGCAGCTCAGGTAACATTTTTTCCTCCCCACTTCAACACTCTCCAGTCTCATCCACCAAAACACTCATAAACCTCTTCTTGTTTCTGAAAATGGGAACCTTGGTGCAGTGGATGCCTTGGGAGGAATACATAAAGCAACCATTTGTACAGAATTATGAGCTATTGAGGTACATGACAGACATTTGCTCTGCTAAAACCAACGGAGACTACGAAGGTTTCACTCCTCTCCGCGTCACCGCACCTGATCAACAAGGCAACTTGTATTACAACACCCGCGACTTACATTCGCGCAATTGACCTTCTTTCTCAACAAACAGAGCTTTCCTCACAGATTCTAACGAAGCTGGTTTCTTTGCTGCCTCTCTATGTAAGCATTTTGACTTTTGAATCACTACATAGCTCTCACCAAAACATAAAAGCATCCCAAATGAAAACATTTGCATTCAATGCTATCCAAATCCAATACAATGGCTTTAGTTACATACAAGATTCAATGAAGCAGATTCGTTAGTGAATCCTATTGTTCAACAAGCACACTTGATCTTCTTTACACAGCCGCAAAATCTAAACCCTTAATGCACATCTGATTTTACATCACCAACACCAATGTTCGTTCTATCACATGATACCTTATGTATCGATATTACGAAACTTTTATGGGTCGTAAGAATAGGCATGTGTATACATGTATTTATGTATCTATATACAGAGAGAGAGAGAGAGATCCACTTCACCAATCTTTTAAGTCCTTGTCCTACCGGAGGCAGCTCCACCTCCACTGTCGCTACCGCCACCTGTGGCTCCATACATATGGTTCTGCTGGTGAAGAAACTGATGATGTTGGTGATACTGCATCGCACCACCACCGTAGAACCCGCCGCCATCGCCGACAGCATCTCTCTGATGCTCTCCGACATCACCACCAGTCTGTGGCCTCCCCAGTCCAGTCCTCTCCCCTTCGATCTCCCTAAACCTCTGCAAGTAGACTTTCAATGGCTCAACATAATCCTCAAACCCTAGAGTGGTCATAGCCCAGAGCAAATCGTCGCCGTTGATCGTCTTCCTCTTCTCCTTCTGACACTTATCCGATGCCTCTCCGGTGACGAAGCTGATGAACTCGGAGACACACTCCTGCATCGTCTCTTTGGCATCTTTGGAGATCTTGGCGTTGGCGGGCAAGGCTTTCTTCATGATCCGGCTGACGTTAGCGATCGGCAAGAACCTGTCTTGCTCTCTGGGAGACAACGAGGACTGTCCGTTGGGATTATTCCCGTTTTGCCCTCCACCGGAATCCCTGTCGGAATCCCCCATTTCCGATAATTACAAGAAATCAAAAAGATGGAAACTTTACTCTTTTTTCTAAATCATTCCACCAGTGAATCAAAATCGAATTCGATTGGTGGTTGACTTGAGTGGGAAGACTAAAGCGAGAAAAATTAGGGTTTAAGAAAGAGTAAAAGAGCAGGTGTGAATTGTTAAGTGTCGGCTGGGGTTGTACACAGTGGTGAAGGAGTCGCCGGAGTTTATATAAAGCGAGGAAGCACGACTTCTGTTCACGTGACACGTGATCTCATATGAACCGTCCGTTTACTGATAAGATTCTGACAACTGGATACGTGCTCGACCGTCGGATTGGAATGATCTTGTTTGAGAGCTAAACAGCCCTTTAACGCTCTGCCACGTGTTGTGGACCGTTAGTGGACCCGTCCCACCCTTTGTCTTAATCCGACGCGCAGAAGTGGAGCGTGATCAACACACAGAAGAGAGAAACAGTGCGCGTGGAAGACACGGAGCAAAGAGGAAGGCGTTTGGGAGACAGAGGGTAACTGCCACTCAACGACCCATGGGTCAATTTTTCACTTTTTTTTTTAATTGTGTTAAGAGCGAATTGGGTTGGATCATGAGGGTGTGGTCTGTGGTGGGGTTCATTGCCATCAAACTGCATCGACCAATCAGATCAGACAGCTGTTTGGAAACAAAAAGTGTCCCAGTTTTTGCCCACTTTTGACGGTCTCGATCTTCTCCGATGGGTCCAACCATTGTCGCTTTTCTAAGCGTGTGATTAGTTAACAATAATCACCAGCTTCCAGCTGTATTTAAGCTCTTAATGATATCACTAATGCTTGCCCACCTGGAATCCTAATGGGCCGTCAATATTTCAATTTCAAAGACTCATCAAAGGTGATGGACCTTCTTATTGGCTATGCTATTTTGGCCCATACGTTTTTCCTTTCCTTTTCAATGTGGTTTGGTCATCAAAATATGGTTTGGTCAACAGAACCTTAAAGGTCTAGTGCTGCTGACTCCATCAGCTAGATATTCTGCGACGTGGAGACGACCAAACCCACGAAAGTGAGTTTTTGTTGTTGTTCAAAGCTGAAATGTGTTGGAGTATAGTTGAAGGTAGGCTTGAATCTTTTGGTTCCTGCATGACTACTCCAATTGAATTGTGGCTTAATTAAATGAAGAAAAGGAGAAACGTCACACTAGATACAAAAACGTTGCACCAAATATTATTAATAAATTATACTTATACAAGGAGTGAAAGAGTAGGCGAACCACTAAGTAATTGCTTCCAAGTGCCGTCTCTCTTTCTCTCTGGGTTCATTGTTTCATTTGGAAGATTCAGCTCTAAATTTGACCCTAAAAAGTCAGCCATGTATTAGTTTTTTTATATATATAGAAAAGATACAACTAAAAAGAAAAAGGCTACTATAAGGTATAAAGAGAGACACTGCCGTACAGAGCTGTGTGACCTGAAGCCACCACGCAAAGGGTCTCTTCCTCTTCTTTAGCTTCCTTCTTCTCTATATATTCATGCTATTTTCATTTCTTTAACAAAATCCAACATATTCTTATCGAAAGAAAGCCAAATAAAAACAAACAAACCTCTTTTCTTTGTGTTTAACGATGGGAAGCTTCTTCATCATCCGTTGCTTCTTGTTATTCTCCTTCTTCTTCTTCTTCAACGGAGCATTTGGGAATACATGGACCAGAACGGAAATGGTGGAGATGGCTGGCTACGGTGAACAGAAACTCTCCTCTGTCATCATCACCGGATCTCTTCTCTGCAAAACTTCACGTCCTCACCTTTACTCTGTCCCTATTCCAGGTATTTGTTTCTCTACCTTCTTCTTCACGTTTCTTGTCTTCCGTCCGACTACTTATATGATCCTCATAGGTGCCACTGTTGCCATCAAATGCCAAACTGGATCCAAAAGGAGGTCCAAATGGATTAAGGCTGTCACTGATGAATTGGGAGAGTTTGAAATCGATCTTCCCTCCCAACTCCACGCGATTCCAGACCTCGAAAACAAATGTTTCATCAAGCCAGTATATGTGCCTAGGCACTATAGATGCTATCACACCTCTACCAATATATACAAACGTATTAAACTTGTTTCCTCTACCAATGGCTTCCGAGTCTACACCTCAGGGAAGATCAGGTTACAGGGCCACACTTCAAGATCATAGCGAGATTCTGGTTTCAACATTTCAACAAAAGATTTGAACAGAAACAACAGATTCTTCAAGTTCCATCTTGTGAAAAGCATTTGTTTTTTTGGTCCCCGTTTGTTTAGCTGGCGCTTCAGTCACAGAACCGAGTTGAGTCTCTCTAAATTGTTTGCATCATGTATATATATAAAGGCTCCCATGTTTTTGATACAAAAGTAGTGTGATCACATTAGAATATATATCAAATGAAATGTTTAGCAGCAGAAACCCCAAATAACATTGGCTGAAGCAAAGACACCAACCATGTCTCTAAACTTGCATTAACTTAACATTGAAGACAAGACTGAAAGGCAGAGATATAACTCAGGACTCAGACGCTTTGGTAGGAGTTTCAGAGAGTATGTAAGTTGCAACATCACCACAACAAGTAAGCTTATCTGCTTTCTCATCAGGGATCTCAATCGAGAACTCTTCTTCAATAGCCATAACTAGCTCCACCTTGTCTAAGCTGTCCAGCGACAAATCCTTCTGAAAATCAGCCCTTTCAGTAACCTGCAAGTAAACAAGCCGTGTTACAAAACAACCTTTACACAAACAAAAAAAAGGTTATACACAAAGAAAAAGCAGCAGTTTTTATAATAACCTTAGAGGTGTTGGTTTTGTCGTATTTCTTCACCAGTTCAATAACCCTGCTCAAGATTTGATCTTGGCCTCCATCTGCAGCTGCTTCTGATGTGAAATTCATATAACCAATACTCTTGAACCCATTCTCGTTCTGAAGAAGCAAAGTGGGTCTGACAGAGACTCTCAGTCTCAAGTGTTGCAGGATTGAGCTCCTAATGCAATGCATCTGAAACAAACATGAACATTTCAATCTAAGTGGACGAATTTCTATCAAGTCTCAGCTTTTATGGAAGAAATCAAATTCAAGGTGATAAAAAATTGAAACTTTATACACCGAATTTCAAATAGAGACAACAACATAGATCGAGAGCTCTTTGAAGCCATACCTGCGACTATGCGAGTGAGGATTCTTCCTAGGTCTAATTCCTCTGAAGCTGGAGAAAGAATGGTAGAGAGAGCAGAGAGTAGAGAACACCTACTGGGCCGAAAATATTATTGGGCCTTAAGATAATATAGGCCTTTTTACGGTGTTTCGTCTTCTTATTTTCAATCAAAATGTAGGCCCAACAAAGTTTATGGCTTTTTCATACGATTCTCCTGCTCATTTCTAATTATAAACCTATTTTCCCCAATTTAGTAAGGCTGCTTAATCTTGGATTCTTGCAAGATGAGTTATTAATAGAACAAACAAATTTTAATACTAGTATTCAAGAGATAGTTGGTAAATAGGCTACAAGACTTGTATATTACTACTAGTGGACTATATTCAATTCCATCTCCATGTGTCTAACGTTTTGATGTCACGCTTAATAGTACTTAATAGACCTTGTCTATGAATACATAGTAGGTGATCAAAGTTATTAAAGTCTGGATTAGTGATGTAATTTTTAAAAAAATTAAGTGGTATATATTGACTGACTTATGTGATGCAAACCGTATACATTGTCAACGGTAGATATTTGACTTGTATATATTAAATACCATCAACAAATAAATGTTTTCTTTTAATTTTTTTATAGAATAGTTTTATTAATATGTAATAATCTAGTGGTTCGTATTAATGTTGTCAATGTGTTACTAATTAAGTTTAAACGGACATAACATTGTTTTCTAAAGGGTGTAAATAACAAAATTGGACGGCAAAAGAAGTGATTAATTTAAAGAAGAAAAGTAAGCTTATGAAAGTTGGTAATAATAATTTGGAAGCACAAGTAATGCCTTGTGTACTTGGAACATCTTCCACTTGGTGATGAATTATTTTAAAAATGATTATTCAATTCATAACAAATTTAATTAGTAGTTTATTTGAAAGCAAAATGAAGGGACATAAAAAAAATTGTGGGATGGCAATCTTTATCATCGTCATCAACCATTCCCCATGTTCCTGCCCACTTTGATTCCCCAAAAGCCTAATAAGAATTTCATGCCATTTTCATTTTAATGTTAAAATTTCATGCAATCAAATTATTGTCTCTTAAAAGCACATGTTGCATCTTTCATAATCATCTGATTAACGAACCATTAAAAAAATGTATATGCTAATGTGTAAAATAGAAAAGTAATATAGACCTTTTATATTAGAGATAAAATGAATTTAAAATCTAGTAGTAGGAACTAGGAAGAAATCAGGGTTAGCTTAGACCAATAGCCATGTTTTATTAACAATGATAGATAGATTTTTTATCTTATGGGTAAAAAAGGTGCACGCATTGGTACAAAACAAAGCGTCGGTTATTTATTATTAAAAATTTACTTATTACAGAGAGAAGAAAAGGAAATGACGAAAATGCCCTCGTCTCTTAGAAGGGAAGGAGGATAGCCAAAGCGAAACATTGCCATATAAAAACAAAAACGTAAGAAAAAGTTTTCTCTTTTATTTTCCAAATTTCTGAATTGGTGCTGAGCATACATAGCTTCCATCCATTTTTGTTCCTTTTAATTCCAAAATAAAGAAAAAAGGACTAAAATTTGGACGATAATCAGAAACGAGAGAGGAAGGCCTCTCGCCCTCTTATTAAAAACCTTGCCTTTGTCCAAATCTGAAGATTTCTCAATCCAAAATCTCTTTTTTTTTTCCTCTTTCTCCGTTTCTTTATTTTCGGTAGATTCCTTCTCTCTGTCTGTCTTCTGGGTTTTTCATCTCTTCCTTGAAGCTTGCACCTTTTTGATCGTTTGGGTTTTTGTTTTGCAGGAATCCAAGATCGTGGGTCGATCGGTTTTTACACAATCCGATCACGACCCATCTGCTCTTTTTCATTGCTTCCCTTGAGGTTTTTTCTCTTTCGATTGAGGTTATTCACTTAGATCGACGACATCAGCTTATTAGATGTATAATCCTTTCTCGTGTTTGTTTTGGGCAGAAATGGAAATGGAATCATGTAAGCTCTTCATCGGTGGTATATCTTGGGAAACCAGTGAAGATCGTCTTCGTGAGTATTTTCACAGTTTTGGTGAGGTTTTAGAGGCTGTTATTATGAAGGATCGTGCCACTGGTCGTGCTCGTGGCTTTGGTTTCGTTGTCTTTGCTGATCCTATTGTTGCTGAGCGAGTCGTTTTGCTTAAACATATCATTGATGGTAAAATTGTAAGTTTCTTCCTCTACATTGCTTCCATTTTCAACAATCTTACTTGCTTCATTTTTGAGGTTGCTGCTTCTCAAAGCAAAGCTACTCCCTTTTATTCCTTCCTGTTTTAGTTAGTAGACTCTCTCTATTGTTTACAATCAGCAGCAGCGTAAGCAAGCACCAAAATCAAAAGAGAAAGAGCTTTGCCTCTCTGATAAGAATATAACAAATTGTTTTCTTTGAGTTGTGTGGTGTGGTGTGTTGATTTTCTCCATGATATATCCAGGTTGAGGCAAAGAAGGCTGTTCCAAGAGATGATCACGCAGTATTTAACAAAAGTAACAGCAGCCTTCAGGGATCACCTGGCCCATCAACCACCAAGAAGATCTTTGTGGGAGGTTTGGCGTCATCGGTGACTGAGGCTGAGTTCAAAAAGTATTTTGCTCAGTTTGGGATGATCACTGATGTTGTGGTGATGTATGACCACAGAACACAGCGGCCGAGAGGCTTTGGGTTCATTTCATATGACTCTGAGGACGCTGTTGACAAAGTGCTGCAGAAGACATTCCACGAACTCAATGGTAAGATGGTGGAGGTCAAACTCGCTGTTCCTAAGGAAATGGCTCTCAACACAATGCGGAACCAAATGAATGTAAATAGCTTTGGCAGTAGTAGAATCAGTACATTGCTGAACGAGTACACCCAAGGATTCAGCCCGAGTCCAATCTCTGGCTATGGAGTAAAACCTGAAGTTAGGTACAGTCCAGCAGTAGGTAATAGGGGCGGATTCTCACCATTTGGACATGGATACGGAATCGAGCTGAATTTTGAGCCAAACCAGACTCAGAACTACGGTTCTGGTTCCAGCGGAGGCTTTGGACGACCCTTTAGCCCTGGGTATGCTGCGAGTCTCGGCAGGTACGGTAGCCAGATGGAAACGGGAGGAGCTAGTGTCGGGAACGGCTCTGTGCTAAATGCAGCAACAAAGAACCATTTATGGGGAAATGGTGGTCTAGGTTACATGTCAAACTCTCCGATATCAAGAAGCAGCTTCAGTGGAAACTCTGGAACGTCTTCACTAGGCAGCATTGGTGACAACTGGGGAACAGCTGCACGTGGACGTAGTAGCTACCACGGTGAGAGAGGAGGTGTAGGATTAGAAGCAATGAGAGGAGTTCATGTTGGTGGTTACAGCAGTGGCTCAAGCAGCTTGGAGGCAGACTCTCTGTACAGCGACTCGATGTGGCTTTCTCTGCCTGCAAAGGCGGAGGAAGGATTGGGAATGGGAGCATTGGACTTCATGTCTAGAGGACCAACTGGATACATCAACAGGCAACCAAACGGAGGTATGAATAATGAATGAACGCCTTTTTTCGATCTGAGAATTCAAGCATTTGTAGAAAATCTGATGAAATCAAATGAAAATGGTGTTGTTGCAGGAATTGCAGCTTAGAGAAGTGAGAAATCCATACCATGGAGATCAGATGATTGCAGAAGAGAGTTTTTAGAAGAGGAAAAAAGTTATTTAAAAAAAAATATATATATATTGGTACCAAAAAGCTTAAAGCTTTTCTTTTACTTTTTTTACTATTTTGATTTGTTGTTATAGCTTTCTTTTTCACCCTTTTTTTCTAATTTGGGGTTTTGTTTCTTTTTTTTATCTTAAAGAAAAAGATGTAAACTTGAGTGATATAAAAAGAGACAAAGAAACAATGAAGTGTATTTTGTTCTTGTCTTTCTCTCTCTTTTATCATCTAAATCCATATATTGACAAATTCAAACATGAAAACGAATTAAAAAAGAGCAATTTGCCTAGAATGTAGGCAACGTAGTTTGAGGCCGACGTGTGGCAAACATGTGGATGATGATAAGCCACAGGACAAAGAAAGCAATCCCTCATCCATCACAATAATATCCATTAATGTGAAGTGGACCAAAAGAGAGAGAAGAGAGTGTTACAGTCCTCAAAATAGAGACGAAACCATCCTAATCCCTCAAACTCTCTCTCTCTCTCTCAGAGCTTCAAGACTTCACTGGAATCGCCACCATTGTCCCTACACTCTTCCTCCTCTATAAGGTCTCTTCTCACGAGGCTCTCTCTCAAACCAATAAAGATGCGTTTGCTAGTAGAAGAAGTAGCTTCAACATTGTCCTCTGCTGCAACTCCAACATGTAACTCTCATGCTTGCAGATGGAAGCCTTACTCAAACTCTACTGACTTCACAGCTAATGCATCAGTCCTCCTCATCCTTTTCATCTCTGCTCTCATTTGTGCTCTCTCTCTCTACGCTGCAATCCGTTGCTTTCTCCGACCAACCCTCGAGACTGAAGACGACCACAAGCCTGACCCTGAAGCAGCTGCTTCATCCACTGCAACAACTCCTACACTTGTCTACTCCTCCGACCTCGAGCTTGCGGGAGCTGAAGCAGAGTGTGCCATTTGCTTGTCGGAATTCGAACAAGGAGAGAGCATCCAAGTGCTGGAGAAATGTCAGCATGGTTTCCATGTTAAGTGTATCCACAAATGGCTCACTACTCGCTCCTCCTGTCCCACTTGCCGGACTTCTATATTCTCACAACACTCTGAAACACCTTCAAGCCAGATCAATGCTTAGCTTCCTTGTCCCACTTTTTCAATCTTGTCTTTCCAAAAGCTTTAGAGTTGTATCATGTTTTGCTTGAGACTAGCCCTGTTTCTGTTTTGTATTATTAAGTAACGTAGACCAACCAAAAGTATTTACTTACTAGTACTTGTATCAATCTAATTCTACATCGCCACGCAATGAAACAGAGATTTTTTTATAAAAAAAGAGTTCATTGTACTAGGAAAGTTTCTGGACCAGTCAGATGAATCAATCGTTTTATCAGTAAGAATCAATAACACTGAGAGCAACTTAAGTTATAATGTGTATAGAGGAGAATAAATGATGGAAGCTCAGCTTCATAACTAACATATCCAGCACCAAATCAAAAACAGTTTTCGAATTTTTAAGACTCGAAAACTTATTGGGCTGGTGAATGGGCCCAATAATAGATCACTCCAGGCCTTTTCCAAAACTTATAGAATAGTCATCCCTTGGCTATAAACAGCGAAGTAGACTTTCTTTTCACTCATTTTCTTCCAAAAGAGAGAAAAAAAGAAAGAAAGAAGAGAGATGAGTGAGCCAAAGGTAAGATGCTTTGACCTATCAAGAACTACTTTCTCTCCAGGTTTCTCTTCGTCCTCTCTTTCCTTTTCACGTGCTATAAGATTTCCCAACAACATCGTTTTCTTCCCCAAAAAAATGTGTTTTCTTCCCAAAAAAATGTGTTTTCTTCTACAAAGTTGTCTCCTTTTCCCGATGAAATGATATAGAGTGTCTTTGACTTGAACCTGGTACACAGATTTACACTTTTTTGCGGTGAAAAGAAGGACATTTTTCCATGAAAATGAAGATGATCCTTTTATAATAGTGTCTTCCTTTGTTATCTGTATACATTTTTTTGCCATGAAAAAGTTGAGTTTTTTTTCATGGAAATGAAGCTGATCGATAGAGTTAGTTCGATACTGATCTTTGATTGTTTCTTCCTTGCCATGAAAAAGTTAAGCATTAAATTCTGAAGTTTTGATGTTTTCCATATTTGATCTTTGCACTTATAAGCATTAAAGTCCGAAGCTTTGATGTTTTCCATTTGATCTTTGTACTTATATATTGTTACAGAGGGATTCTACGCGACGAACAATCAGTTCCAGACAACGGGTCCAAAGGGTTTCATTCAAGTGAAGGTTCTGGAGAACGACAATCTCTATGTGCGTGTCGACTTGCCTGGCGTTCCAGACGACGCCGTTCGCTACAGAGTTGACGCCGTGAGACAAAAGGTTGTCTTTTTCTCCGGTGAAACTCTCAACAACGATAAAGAAGGCATGCGTGAGTACTCTGGAACCGCCGGTCTTGGCTGTGACTGCTGCGAGATCACAGGCGTTGATGCCAAAATGAAAGATGGAGTTTTGAGAATGATTCTCTCAAGGGTCAAGCAGTGGCGGAGCTAGAATTTTAGCTTATAGGGGTCATTTATAATTAAATATTTTTATTTAATTACATATTAATATTAAATCATTTATTTTAAACTAAATAAAATATGTTTAAGAACAATTTAAAAAAAAACTAAGGAAAAAAATAGAATATATCTAAAAAGTTAATATTTTTTGTTTTTTTTTTTTGTCATCCAAAATTAATTAGAGCTCAAAAGAGTCATTCCTGAGGAATGTTGTTTACATAAGTGATATGAAGCGGTTCTGTAAGAATTTTTCGTGCCAGATTATCTGCTTTAACATTAGCCCTACGAGAAATTAAAGATAAAGAAAAAGATGAAAACTCCTCCTTGTCGCTCTGAAATTCCTCCAAGTACACTGAAAACGCCGGCCATTCGGTTGGAGAAGACACCATCTTCACCAGGTCTGAACAGTCTGTAAAGAACGCTACCTCTTGATTATCTGCACCAATCATACACTTCATCGCCCAGAGAAGGGCCTCGACTTCGGCATGTAGTGGAGATAGACTTCTACGGAGGTTCGCAGCTCTAAAAAGTTAATATGTTACCACGATTTTAGAGCTTTGTAGCCATATACTAAAAAAACATAAAACAAAAAATGGAAAATGAGTTAATGCTAAATAAAAAATAAACATGTGAGGGGTCAAATTAAGGAATTGATTGTTGGCATGGGGTCATTATGAAAAATTAAACCAAAATATCCATAAATTATTGTAAGACTTACCTTAAAAAAACAAAAAATCATAAATGTTATGGGGGTCAATTGACCCCCCTCCCTCTTCACTACCTCCGCCACTGGGGTCAAGGTTGTGAACAAGGATCAACCCAACAACAAGTGTACCCTCACTGTACCTCCTTTCACAGGTTCGATCCCATTATTCCTCTATAAAGTCTCCAGCTTTTTTGCTGCATCGTTTGTTGTAAATACACTCTGTTCTTTTCAGGTCAATCCGGGAGATATCTGGAGGATCATCCATATGTGGTGAATGGTCGCAAGGGAGCACTATTTGGTGTCCCAACCGCGGGAACAGGGCTTTACTTTGCAGTGGACATGCCAGGGGTTTGTGGGGATGATGTACTAGTGTTTGCTCATGAAAATGAAATCAGATTCTATGGTGAGGTCAAGAACGTGTATGAGCACGATGAGAGCCGTCGAATCTACTCGGGAAGCATCCAGAGTCCTCCTTCCCGTGTTCTACCTTCAGTTTCGAGCCACCACATCACTTGGGATGCAGAATTTGGTGTTCTCAAGATTGTTGCTACACCTCCTGGCTACACCAACAACTAAGGAACCCCTATTATCTCTCTCTCTCTTTCGCTATATTTTCATTTTGGGACAAGTTACTTTGATTAGTTTTCTCTGTTTAAGTTGAGACAATTGAGAGAAAGAGACGTAGTCCTTGCTTTTGTGTTTGCAATGGAATCAAATGATTTATGTCATTTGTTAACTCTTTTTTTCCCCTAAGCTGATTGAAACAAATTGGTTCCATCGCATAACTTACCTAAAGCTAAGCTTATTGTATACTATTTTCTTCCATGAAATGTCAATTGTTTATAGACATGAGGTAAACAACAAGGGCAAATCAATTTTAGGGCTTAGATGGAACAAAACTAACTGGGCCGATTCTTAGGCCCATGATAGTGTGTAATAGAAGAGTGTGCTAAAAATTGGTCAGTGAAGTCAAAGTTAGCTACTTTTCGGGTCTCCAGATTGATGTCATTGTCAACAAGATAACTCCTTTCCATGGAGTTCAACGAGAAGAGCTTTTCGATCAATTTCACCAAATCAGAAACACTTTTCGAATTTTAACACTCAATGGGCTTATTAATGGGCCTAATGATAGGTCACTCCAGGCCTTTCCAAACCCTATAGTCCCTCCCTCGGCTACAAATAGCAAGTAGAGTAGAGCGACTTTCTCACTCGGTTTCCTTCCAAAAGAAAGAGAAAGAGCGTCGTTTTGAGAAAATGAGTCGGAACGCAGGCAGCTCCAGCGAAAGTAGCATTCCGTCTCCGAGTAAAGTTTTCATCTTTCACTTTCATTTCTTATAAAAATCCAACCTTTTTCGTCAAATCATAACGAATTTGTGTTTGTTTATCTTATGTATTTATGTACAGTGAGGAACCTGTTTCAGAAAAGTGGGAGTCAAGCAGTGTACGAGATGTCAGAGACAAAGAAAGCTTGCGTGATGAGAATCGACATGCCTGGTTGTCCCGAGTCAGATCTCACCTACTGGGTCGACGACAACAACGTCCACTTCTTCGCCGACGAACCAGCCATGCCCGAGTACGAAAACACCGGTCGCAAATACGGAGGCTCCATGGTTTTCAACCCTGAGTCTTACAACGTCAAGAAAGTTAAGGTGAAGCTTATCAACGGAGTGCTCTGGATCACCGTCCCTAAGATCCCAGGCAAAAACGCCCCCATTGATGTCATTGAGAGGATCATCCGTTACTGATTTGGTTTGTGTCTCGTATCAATGGTACATGTGTCTACGGTTTTAGCTAGCTAGCTAGCGTCTCTATCTATCTATGAACTTTGATGCAGCTGCTTTCTGTTTTGTCTTTTATGGTTTAAGAACGCTCTTGCTTCTATGTCGTGATCTCAATAATGAAAAAGTTGTCGGCTTTCTTTGTTTTGTTTAATCTTGCATTAACCTATAGCTAATCGAGATCAGACTATAGTTCTTTGCCATTATCAAACTGGATAACAACAGTACGTAACCTTGACATGCTTTGAGCAATATTAGGGTTTTTTATTGTAAGAAAGGAGCAAACTTTTTTTTATTGTGTTGTAAAATCTGGATAAACACTAAACAACGGTTAAAACCTTATTTGATCTTTGATGAAAAAAGGATAATTGACACAGCTCATAATTTTTTACCCTTGAAGATAGCTGACGTCAGCGTCTTCTTGTAAAAAAAGTTTGAAAATTAATGAAGAGAGTTTTCACTTTTGCAGTCATTTTTGTCGTATGTATAAACGAAATGAGTAAAAAAGCATGGGAAACTAGTGACGTCAGCTTCTTCTCTACCGTAAAAAAAAATCAAAAGAGTAAAAGCAAGTTTTTTTCTTACCGAGAGACTAGGTGACGTAGGCAAGACCAGTCAAACTTCGCTATGAAGGTGAAAAAAGCCAGCTGGAGCATGCCACGTCACAGACTGTACCACATGATGGTGCTTCGTCTATATTATCAAGTATCAACAGCAAAACAAAACACCATTTTTACGCAACCTACCTTGAACTAGAGAAGAGAGCAAAAAGAAGAGAGATGGGTGAGCCAAAGGTAGAATTCAGGGACATGTCAAGAATTCCTAAAGTTCGAGGTATCTCTTTCTTCTCTCTTTGTTTTCCTTTTCACGAGTTACTAGATTTCACTAGAACATTGTTTTAATTTTTCTCGAAAAAATGTGGTTTTTCTAGAAAGTTGTCTCCTTTATTTCCGGTGAAGTACTAATAACATGAACTTGGTAGTTGGTACAAAGATTTACATTTTTTGTGTGCATGATGAAAAAAAGCAAGTGTTTTTTCATGAAAATGAAGCTGGTCAATTTACTTCTCTACAGATTTTTTATAAGTTTCGTTCCTTGGTTAATCTCTGTATATACATCTTTTTGCCATGGAAAGTAAGGTCTTTTTTTTCATGAATCGAGTTAGTTCCATCTTTGATAAGTGTCTTCCTTTGTTCTCTTTCTCTGTATACTTTTCTTCATCAAGTTTTGATCTTTGTACTTATTATTACAGAGGGATTCTACGCGACGAACAATCAGTTTCAGAAAGCGGGTCCAAAGGGTTTCATTGAAGTGAAGGTTCTGGAGAACGACAATCTCTATGTGCGTGTCGACTTGCCTGGTGTTCCAGACGACGCCGTTCACCACAGAGTTGACGCCGTTAGACAAAAGGTTGTCTTTTTCTCCGGCGAGACTCTCAATCCCAAGGAAGGCGGCATTCGTGAGTACTCTGGAACCGCTGGTCTTGGCTGTGACTGCTGCGAGATCACAGGCGTTGTCGATGCCAAAATGAAAGATGGAGTCTTGAGGATGATTCTCTCAAGGGTCAAGGTGAACAAAGATCAACACAACAACAAGTGTACTCTCACTGTGCCTCCTTTCACAGGTTTGATCCCATGCCTCTCTAAAGTCTCTATCTTTTTTGCTGCATCATTTGTTGTTAATACAGTACTCTGTTTTCTCAGGTCAATCCGGAATACGCTTGGAGGATCATCCGTGTCTGGTGAATGGTCGCAAGGGAGCATTATTTGGGAAGGCAACAGCGGGAGGAGGGGCTTTCTTTGCAGTGGACTTGCCAGGTGTTACTCCGGATGATGTAGAAGTGTCTGCTAATGAAAATGAAATCAGATTCAGAGCTGAGATCAAGAACGTGTATGAGCACGATGAGAGTAGTCGAACCTATCTCGGAAGCGTCCAGAGTCCTTTTCCCTCTTTAATTTCGAACAACACCATCGCTTGGGATGCAGAATTTGGTGTTCTCAGGATTGCTGTCGTAACTCCTGACGACATGACCATCATCAACAACAAAAGAAGCCCTATTGAATGATCGATATATCTCTACCTCTCTTGTACTCTACTATATATTTTCGTTTTGGGACTTGTTACTTTGATTAGTTTTTCTCTGTTTAAGTTGAGACATTGGTGTGAGAGAGAGTAGTCCTGCTTTTGTTTTTGCTATGGGAATCAAGTGATATGTGTTATTTGTTTTCCTAAGCTAATTGAAAACGTTTTAAAACAAATTGGATCCATTGAATAACCTGAATGATGATGATGATTGCTCAAAACCCCTAAGGCTGATATTGAAAATTCTTTTATTCCATGGAATGTCAATTGTCATTTGATCTGTCACTCACCAGTGCCTAATGCCCCAATTGAATCGAAATGGTCATAAAAGGAGTGTGGTGATTTTATCAGCCAAGTCAAAGAATCAGTCACAATGGAAATGATTGAATCTTGTTAATTACATCAACATTGCCATTGGCATTGTCCCAAAATAATCGAAGGACACGGACATAAGAAAATATCAGCTTTCCTTTTTGTTTATTACATCTCTCAACCTTCATAGCTCCATAGCTCCTAAAACTTATCACCGTTACTTATGTCGATGGGAGCCACTTCCACATTTGATCTGTCACTCAACAGTGGCCCATCCAGTAACAAAACTAATTGGGCCGATTCTTAGGCCCATAATAGGTGGGTCACTCCAGGCCTTTTCCAAAAATGGAAACCTCCACGAAAGCAGGCATCTCCGGCGACACCTCTCCCCGTGAGTTTTTTCCCGGTTGATCTGCGATTCAACAGTGTCTAATCCGGTAGAATGTTGGAACTTGTGCTCAAAATTGGTCAGCGAAGTCAAAGTTTGCTACTTTTCCAGTCTCTAGAATGATGTCAACAAGATCACTCATTTCCATGGAGTCAAACTAAACTAGAAGGAGCTTTTCGATCAAATCCTTGAATTCGATTGATGGGTATCCTCGGCTGCGACGCCCATGGCGATTTGAACGATGCAGAGTTCAGCAAGCCCTTACCTTCGATTGGTATCTACGTTGCCGTAGCTTCACTCATCTGTGGTCTTGCCATGGCCGCAGATCTTATTCACGGCTTCCGACACCGCAAATTCTGGTTTCCCTGTAAGTTCTTCTCTCTCAACGCCACTTCTCTGACTTTCATCGCTGTCGGAATCAAACTCTCTGTGGATCTCAACACTTCCATGCCGAGTCGTCAGGATCAGTTAGCTAAACTCAGCAGCACCGTCTTTATATGTACGGTGATGGGCAATTCGATGCCTTCTCTGGGTATAATGGACAACAATGATCTCCTTATGAATCTTATGGCTTTAGGGATTCTTGTAATCACCGATGTTGTTAACATCTGTATTCAGTTGGGTACTGGTGCGATTTATGTTTTCTCTGAAGAACATTTTCTGGTCGTACTTCTCATGCTTCTTATGCTTATGATCTTGTGTTTCTCGGCCACTACTGTTCCCACCACGAAAAGAATCTTGGAGGCTAAGTACAAGAAGAGGTACGACGTTGCCATGAAGTGTCCTTTGGCTACAGAGAGAACTGTTGCTAAGAAAATTCAGCAAGATTTGTCAAAGTTCTGGATGATGGCTCATACTAGTAGTCCTCAATTCGTGATGGCTCGTTCTGTCACGTGCACTGCTTCTGGTTTCTTTTGTCTCTTGAGTGCCATTACGCTTGGTGAAGCCATGGTGAGGAGTTACTTTTTAAGACCAAGGTCACTTGGGTTCTGCCATGGAGATTCTGATTACAAATGGTCAACCTCTCTGGTTCTTGTTTGCCAGACTACTGCTGTGGCCATAGGGACCATTGCTCCTGCGATCAGATGGTTCACTGCTGTGAACTTCAGGTGTCCGATTAGAGGAAAGAAGTATTATAGAGATGAGTTTAGAGTAGAGAGTTACTGGACACATTGGTTCTCAGAGAAGAAGCAACATCCCTTAAGCCTTTGGATCCTCAAAGATCGCAGATACAGGAAGATTGCGCACAATGCAAAACGCTGGATATTGGATGTATGTATTGTGATACAGTATGTGATTGTGTTTGGTAGCAAAATAATCCGTTACATCTCGGTTTTCTGTGTGGGTAAGATCTTGATGTGCTGTTATTTTGTCTTAAGGACCAGTAATACTATCACACACAGTGAGTCAGAAAAATCCGATTCTAATCCAAGCTCGAGACAGGACCTTGCGAGTTTTGTCCTGCATCTTGAAGGAGAGGATCCGCTGGTGGATGTTATGGTGCGGAGCAACCGGGAAGCCACAGATCATTGGATAGAGAATGGCAGAAAGAAACAACCAGTGAATCTGATAGAGCTTTTGGAAGCAACAACACCCATTTCAAAAGGATTTGAAGGGATTGCAGAGTTTGACAGCAACAAAGTGGCTTCTCTTGCCCATGGAGAGCCACCCAATTGTTGGGCTCTCCCTCTGGTAACACTCACAAGCATCGCTGTTGCTCTTCCCGACATAAAGCCCTCCTCCCTCAAGAAGTTACTCAATGCAGTCAACGAGGCACTGGACTATGTCAACAAGTTTGAATGCGTCCTGGATACAGGAGGAGAGTCAGTTAACCTCAGGAAAGCTGCTGAGGTAGTTTGGCTAGGAGTTGATCTCTATCACAAGTGGTTTGATGTGGATCTTCGGAAACTATCAAAGCAACAAAGAACTCCAGAAGAAACTCTTCGGGACCTCATGGAAATCGCAAAGAAAGAGTTCTCAGAGTCATGGCAGATGAACCTGATGGTGTGCATGAAGCACAAGCCCTCTCACTGGCCCATCAAGACTCTAGCGGCAAACTCCATGTACCGAATCTGTCAAACAATTCTGCTCAATTACGAACCAAGAGACTATGGAACAGGGGAAGCTCTATTGAGAAAGCTGGAAAGCACAATATCAGACATAGTTTCAGGTTGCTTTTGCAACGTAGCACAAGTGATATCCGTCAAGTGTTTGGTGTCGGCTGTAGAAGTGAGGGAAGAATCAGTAAGAGGAGCAGCTCTGCATCTGGGAAGAACAGAGAAGATTCTAGAGGTTTTAGAGAGAAGAAGGTTACCTAAATTGAGATGTGATCAGATGAAGAACATCGATGAATGGAGAGCATTCTACAAGATAAACCCGTCTGAATGTAATAATAAGAGCAACACAGTTTATCCGGAGTCGGACGAACTGCGCCTCACTGTTGAATAGTTTATAGATATGATGTTAAAGGTTGTAGCTTTCTCTGTTTTTTGTACCTTTGTGTAATCACCACATGGATGTCATTGTATATAGTAAGAATCTGAAGCTTTTGATAATACACTTGAAGTGTCTGTGCTCAAATATAGAGGAAATTACCATATTGACCTTTTTTAAAACGACGCCGTTCAGAGAATCGTTTCAGTGACTGCGTCTTTTTCTTGGGTCGTCTATCTGTGAAATTGTTGGATTTTGGATCGAAACCTGAAAGTAGCGAAAATGGCTGGAAGATTGAGCGGTGTGGCCTCACGAATCATGGGTGGAAACGGCGTTGTAGCCAGATCCGTCGGCTCTTCTCTCCGTCAACGCGCCGGAATGGGTCTCCCCGTCGGCAAACACATCGTCCCCGATAAGCCGGTGAGTCAAAATTTCTTATTAGATTCTTCTGAATCTTTTCGATTCTGAACCTCTTACGTTCCAAAATTGTGCGGGTCAGCTATCGGTAAACGACGAGCTGATGTGGGACAACGGGACTGCGTTTCCAGAACCTTGCATAGATCGGATTGCTGATACCGTTGGAAAGGTTGGTTACACCATTTCTAATTTTCTGATTGTTTTCAGGCGTAAAAAGCAAATTGTGTTTCTGATTGGATTTTGGATGATTATGAACAGTATGAAGCATTGGCATGGTTGAGTGGCGGATTAGGGTTCTTTGCGGGTCTTGGTCTGCTCGCTGTTTTGAACGACAAAGCTTCAAAGGTTCCATTTGTAAGTGAAAATCTTTCAACTTTCGCACTAAATTGTCCTGGGTGTGATTATCAAAGTCATGATTTTGCTAAGATCTATCATCCCTATGCAGCTATTATGTTTGTTGTTCAACTCTGAATTTGAAACATATACTTGGCATAGGCTTACTTCTGAGAATAGATTTTTGCTGGAATCTACCAAATATGCGAGAATGTGTCAATGTTCTTTTCTTCATTTGCTGAATGCCGCAACATTTAGCTTTCAGTTTTTGCATTTTGCCTGTTTATGAACATAAACAATTCTTGCTGTTTGCTTTTGCATCTGACCAAAGTACTGGAATAGATGGGTCTTATGTCCGCGTTGCTTTCATAATCCTGTCTTAATTAATATTGAGCCTGTACATAGTAGTTAGGAACACTCACAATGTTCTTGGGAACTCGGTAAATGCTTAAGTTTATATGAGTGTGAGAAAAAACATGAAGGCTTCTAGAGGTGTATGTATCAGCAGCTATAATCTATGATTTAGTTCTCTAAGTGTCCACTGGCCAAGAATCATAGACTCTGTATCAAAGGCTAATAGGTTATACTATGATGAGTCTTGTTTTGAAGGATTTCAAGTAGAAGACTTAGGCCTATAAAGTTGCTCTGGCTTTTTGCCTATACATGAAATGAATTGGTGCTGTTCTTTTTACTTTAGAAGTTGTTCTGTGACATCTCATCTCTCTGCTTTTGTTTCATGTTCTTGTCATTGTGGAACTTATCTTTCCATATCATGATCATCTGTTCTCTTACTGTGTTGTTGCAGACACCGAGAGTGTATCCATATGACAACCTGAGAGTTGAGCTTGGAGGAGAGCCATAGAGACCCATCTAAGTGATTTGCTCATCAAAACTCAAACGTGTTTTCTTCACTGCTTTGTTCTTCTTCAAAATGTTTGTTGTTTCCTGCTTAGAACATGAAGACAAAAGAATAAAAAGAGACTTTGTTTTTATTATATGCGTTGTCTCTGTAATTAACAGTGGCCAATGAGAATTTCATAAGTGCAGACTTCTGGTTCCGCAACTCTTGAATTGTGTTTTGTAACCTTTAGAAATCAATCTACCCACAGTTGACAGTTAGCGCCATGTGTCGAACCAAGTGTGAGCCTCGTACGACTTCAAACAAAGGCAAGACAGAAAGGCAAATTAGCCTAATGTGGCATGTGAGTGGGACATTGAGAGAAACAATTGAACGTGTTCGTATCCGTTTTGGAATTGAAACTTTGGTTTTAACCATTACGTATTCGGTATTCCTTTCCTCTTTTGTATATTTTTCATATCTTATACGCATTTATTTATGTCTCTCTTCGTTTTCTCTGATGATTATCTATCAATTTCATCACGACAACTAGGTTAGGAAAGAATTTCGTATTGGTAAACAAATATCTTACGGGTAGAAATTATTATGTTGAAGACTGGTGTGACTTGTCTCAAACATTTTTATACTAAGAAGGAGACTATAAGAAAGAAAAACAGAAATTTGATTAGTGAATTGGATTTGACTTGTACAAATACAGGTCTAAAGTAGACTTATCACAAGGGGTAAGTTTGGAGACCACATAGTCTACAATGCAGATGATTAAAACTATATTTGATAATTGATCATATAATAATCTATGGACTAAAACTTTCCAAGTGATGGAATCAAAGATAGCCACATGAGTCTCATGGATATATGGATTTCTTTCAAATATTCGATTGAGTAAATTAATAGTTTCAAGATCAAGATCATCAATGTGATCTGCCTACGTGTCATCTCTCTTTTTATGTTATATCTCTAATTATATTTGCGGGAATAGTTCTTATTAGTCTTCCTTTTTTTTGTTGGCAAACTGGATATAGCAAAACTCATCGTACGTATATATATATCTACATGCATGTGTGTATGTGTGCTTATCTTTAGACCAAGTCCATATATATCTCTTTGAGAGATTTAATAGACAAATAAAAAGATTTGACACCCTTCAAAATTTCAAATACTTGTGGATTCTTGAATATTTCTACACAATTTTGTATACATAATGAATAATATCATTATTATTAGAATTGGAGAAAAAAGGACACAAAAAAAAGAGAGGAAGGTAAGAACCAGGGAAGTTGGGCTCTGGAGGAGTACCAAAGGCTGCATATATAACGTGTCTCACTCTCTCTCTTTACTCTTGCCAACTATCAATTTGCCTTTCTATTCTTTCTCTTTTCTCCTCATTTATTTCCATCCTTTTCAACATTTCCATAACCTCTTAATTCATTCTTAACCATAAGAAAAAATATTTTATGTAGCATAAGAATCGTCGAAAAAATAAAAAAAAAACGTCGGAAAAAAATGTAGCATACCAATAACAAAATTACAAAACAAATGGTCCACATCTATCAACGTAAGGGATTTTACAAGTTTCGAAAATGTAAATCCGTTATTTTTTATGATGCAAAATTTTACATTTTCAGAATAATTAAAAAGAAACAAAACGTTATTAATCTACTAGAATTAGCGGTATAATGTTTTTATGAATATTTTGTAATAACTTATTCAGCTAAAGATTTTGTTATTCATGTAATTGATTAACCAAGTTAAATTCGGATGACAAAAAAAAAAAAATTAACCAAGTGCCATAGGGAGTACTACTATTCATTTAACATATTAATCAAAGACATACACTAATAAATTGTGGATAAAACGAACTCTAATGAATGTTAAATCATAAATGGAGAAGCTAGAGTCAAGTTTATCTATAACTCTTGAAATTTTACATATTTTAATGATTCACCCCCTATGGCACTTGGTTTATATGACTATAATTAATTAGCAAATAGATTGTTATGATTACTTGTCATCTTAATCTCTAATGTCCTTTATGGGTCATCAGATTCCATAGTCTTAGACAAAATATAAGCCATCACAGCTTCGCCACTTGTAACTTGTAATTTGCGAGACCCCATCATTTTCATGGGTCGATTATATATTGAAAATGGACTAAAATAAATAAATAAAACAATAGTATCTTCCTTAGATAAACTGAAAAGTCATCAATCAGTTCACTGAAGAATGACCTTTCTTTTATATTTACCCTATGATCCAATAATTCGAATTTGTCTTCCAAGAAAATACATTATTTGTCTCTTAAATTTATCTGACCCCATACATTTTCAATATAATTGTGAACCAGCAAATATTTGTGATTGAAAATACAAACTAAAATAAAAACATTTTACAGGAAAAAATACAAGTCTACTAAACATGTGTCACTCACGCTCTTAAACCGAATATTTTCGTCATATGACCACACAACTTAATTCTTCTATAAATAACCTTAATAATATAAACTCATTTCGTATCTTATTTTTTATTTTTGCCAAACACATTATGATAAAATAAATAAATTTATAAAAAGGCTCCTTTCCCATCTTCTTTGGTTCTTAACATTTCTCTTATTCTTTTTTTCTGTCCTTCCATTTAAAAACAGAATAAACAGAATGAACGGTGGTGAAGTCACCGTCGCCGGCTCCGACGACCTGAAGTCTCCGCTTTTACCAGTCGTCCATAATGATGAACCATTCGAACGACAAACGGTGGGACAACAACTTCGGACAATATTCACGCCCAAGAATTGTTACATCGCTCTTGGTCCTCTTCTTTGCGCCGTCGTGTGTCTATGCGTAGATCTCGGCGGAGATGACACGACGACGGCGAGGAACATGCTCGGCGTTTTGGTGTGGATGTTCGCGTGGTGGTTGACGGAGGCCGTTCCGATGCCTATCACCTCCATGACGCCGCTCTTCCTCTTCCCTCTCTTTGGAATATCGGCGGCGGATGACGTGGCGAATTCTTACATGGATGACGTAATCTCCCTTGTCCTCGGCAGCTTCATACTCGCTCTCGCCGTCGAACACTACAACATCCACCGCCGGCTCGCCCTTAACGTTAGTCTTTTCTTTATCTCTTTATCTTCTTTTTTCATTTAATTGTTTACATCTATATGAATTATATAATTCGTTTATTTATTAAGGGTAATTTCACCTTTTGTGTTAGAAAAATAACGTTTTTTTTTTCTTGAATTATATTTGAGTTTTGGATGTGGTGACTTGTGAGACATGTTGATTGTGTGCGGGTCCACGGCTGAATTAATTACAAAATATGATCGTTACAAAATAGGTGGATTGCTTCAATTGAATCCCTACTTACAAAATTATACACTTATGATAACATAACAATGTGTAGTGGTCCATGTTTATACGTGGCTTTGCCAGATTATGTGTTTTTATTTCCTCCTCCACACATTTTTATTTTGTTTTGATTCTTCACTTATTCAATAATTTGGAACTCTTATTTAATTTTGAAAGAAAAAGAAAATCTTATACCTATGCAATTTTTTCATTTTATTAGTAGTATGATAGATGAGAAGTCAATTCATGGCCTAGGCCAATCCATAATTGATAATTCCAATTTATAAAGACAACCAAAATACTAGATGAGAGACACGTAAACACTCTGTTTCTCCAGGAAAATCAATGAGTGTGATTTAATTTGTGCAGTGCGGGCTCCAATAATTAGCTCACAAGTCACAACTATAATCATTGTTTACTTTTATTAACTATAATCATTAACACAGTTAAGTGGAGCTCACCAGTCACCACGTATCTAATTATGATAAGTTAACAATATAACTTAATGGATAATCTATATTCTTGAAGATAACGTTGGTGTTCTGCGTGGAGCCTCTTAACGCGCCGCTGCTTCTACTTGGCATCTGCGCCACAACGGCTTTCGTGAGTATGTGGATGCACAACGTAGCAGCTGCGGTCATGATGATGCCAGTGGCTACGGGAATACTTCAGAGACTGCCCTCGTCATCATCGTCAACGGAAGTGGTGCCTCCGGCGGTGGGGAAGTTTTGCAGGGCGGTGGTGTTGGGTGTGATATACTCTGCGGCGGTTGGTGGGATGAGCACACTCACTGGAACAGGAGTGAATCTGATACTTGTTGGAATGTGGAAAAGCTATTTCCCTGATGCTGATCCAATCAGTTTTAGCCAATGGTTCTTCTTTGGTTTTCCATTGGCTTTGTGCATATTTGTGGTGCTTTGGTGTATTCTTTGTGTTATGTATTGTCCTAAAGGAGCAGGACAAGCTCTTTCTCCTTATCTCCATAAATCTCATCTCAGGAGAGAGCTTGAGTTGTTAGGACCAATGAATTTCGCTGAGAAGATGGTCTTAGCCGTGTTTGGTGGGTTGGTTGTGTTGTGGATGACAAGGAATATAACAGATGACATCCCCGGCTGGGGTCGGATCTTTGACGGCCGGGCTGGGGATGGAACCGTGAGTGTGATGATGGCGACATTGTTGTTTATAATCCCAAGCAAGATTAAAAAAGGAGAGAAGCTAATGGATTGGAGCAAATGCAAGAAACTCCCATGGAACATTGTCTTGTTATTGGGAGCTGGATTCGCTATAGCCGATGGAGTACGCACAAGTGGCTTAGCTGAAGTCTTATCCAAAGGACTAGTCTTTCTTGAAACGGCTCCTTACTGGGCCATAGCTCCAATGGTTTGCCTCATTGCTGCTACTATCACAGAGTTCACCTCAAACAATGCAACCACTACATTGTTGGTTCCGTTACTGATCGAGATTGCAAAGACCATGGGGATCCATCCTTTGCTCTTGATGGTCCCTGGTGCCATAGGGGCTCAGTTCGCTTTCTTGCTCCCCACGGGAACACCCTCTAACGTCGTTGGGTTCACGACAGGGCATATAGAGATCAAAGACATGATGAAGACAGGCTTGCCTCTCAAGATTGCTGGAACCATCTTTCTCTCCATCTTGATGCCCACTCTTGGTATATACCTAATTTTACTCACAACATTCTTCTTTATAATTCATTTTATTATCCAGTTTGCTTATATATATTATTATTACATGATGGCAGGGGCATACGTTTTTGCATCAAAGGGAGGAGTTTAGTTCTACGAGGGAAGCACAAGAACATATGGACACTATCGATTCATTGTACTATATATATAGTTTATGAATTACCCTAATATGCTGGTAGATATATATGGTCAATGAATGATGGAATGGGAAATTCAGATGTGGTCGTCAAAATTCACAAAATCGGCCCATTTTTGTAACCCGCCTGATTATAGTTTCCGGTACGATTGCTTTCTTTTGTGCGTCCAATGTACCGGTAAGTTTGGTCTTCTTTTTGTGTGTGTGTATATAATAAAAAGGGTTAATACAGATTTGTGTGTTCTTCTTCCTAAACACAACTAGTGGCAAATCCTGCGGTCCAACTTGGTCATACCATACATACCACGTCATTGTCCAGCGTGTCTTCTTCTGTTTCCGGTTTTCTACAAACACAAAAAACAAAGAAGAATAAAACCCCATTAATGCATGGTTTGTAACGTCTAATTAGTTTTTGTCCTTTACACTCATTTATGTTCTTTATTTGTCCTTTGCTATATACTTGTCTATTAAATAATATGCTTATAATCATAGAAAACTATAAATAGTCAAATCCTTTTGGGTATTTATTTTCGTAGGTAGAAGTTGGTCATTGCAAATTACATAAATGATATCCAACCTTTAGAGGATAAACCTCATTAATTTCTTCATTATGCTGAATTCCAAAACAGATATATATTGAATGTATTTTACCTATAAATATATTTTCTAAGGAAATTTGTGAGTTTTAATTATTTTGCAATAAATTATAATTTTAAAATACATATACTGTACAAAGCAAAAAAGTACCAAAAATGTTTTAATTAAATATTTTGCCTAATTAGAAGAAAAAAAATCTGCTAAAAATCTAGAATTAAGCGACACGTTATGCCACGTGGCAGACCTCTAGTGTATTTAAAGAGCCCATAAAACCCAATGAATCAACTTTGAGGAAACAACGGTTACAAAGCAAAATGACTAGCAAGGTCGTCTTCATTCTTCTCCTCTCTCTCGTCGTCCTCCTCCTCCCTCTCTACGCCTCTGCGGCGGCCCGCGTCGGTGGTTGGAGTCCCATCAGCAACGTTACGGACCCTCAAGTCGTAGAGATCGGCGAATTCGCGGTCTCCGAGTACAACAAACGGAGCGAATCGGAACTCAAGTTCGAGACTGTTGTTAGCGGCGAGACTCAGGTCGTCGCTGGTACAAATTACCGGCTTACAGTGGCGGCTAATGACGGAGGAGCGAGGAAGAACTACTTGGCGATTGTATGGGACAAGCCGTGGATGAAATTCAGAAATCTCACTTCCTTCGAGCCTGCCAATAATGGTCGCTTCCTCTAAGTTTTTACATGTAACCGCTATTTTAAAATATTGCAGAAACCAAACAAAAATAAACAAAGATAATTATTCTGTCTATTTTCTGTATTATTATCTAGTTTTCAAAATTTGCAAATCTGAAGAAATATGGTAATTGAACAAGTTTTTTTTTTGACATATCCGGTAATTATGCCGGATAATCTGGTATGTGAATTATGGGTCAGTCACGAGACAGTTGAGAGATATATCACTCACTAAATAATAAAATTAAAAGAGTCAATTACAAAATAGGAGACAAGAGAGAACCATGTGATGAGAGGGAAAGAAAGAGTGAAGGTGTAAAGTGAACATGTCATTTGTCTTTGGTCCATCCATATAAGCTCATTTACATGTGACGACGACCCTCTCCTCTTTTGTTTATCCAACTACCTTCTTCACATTTTTCATCATCATCATTTCTCTCTACTAACACAAAAGAATAAGATTTTCTATGAAATATTGTACAAAGTGTCTAAATTATGAGAAATACTAATTTATTAATTCGTAATCAAATGATCCGATTGGCAATACAAAACGGTGAAACCAATTTAGCGGAGAAAGAAAACAATAACGATACCAAGACAATTACGATTAATAAGAAACGGTAAGAGACAACGATACAACAAATGCTAAAATCATCGCTTTTAGTATCACTTTTGTGATTGATAACTACTAAAAGTCTAAAACTATAGATGCTAGCAATCAATACCCAAGGATTCGATTTTCCAGTGACAAACTTGAAGAACAATTGATTTTTGGCCATATTAAAAAAAAATATAATCATAATAAAAAATGACACGAAAACAAAATATAAATTAGTTTTAAAATCCGAGGGAAGGAAGAGAGATAGGAGAAAATAGCATTCTCTCTCTGTCTTCTCTGAACATTTCCCTGCGCTAAAAATGGAAGAAGCCAAGTGAGAGAAAGATGGTGAAACGCGAGGAGATATAGGAACGAGAGAATCCATATTCAGACACAACAACAAAAAAAAGCTTCAATTTTTGCCAAAAAGTTTTTGTCTTTTTGTTGTTCGAATTTGGGGGAAGAAGGGAAAGGTGTGTAAGGATAGGGTCGTGCGTGTCAACGAGAGGTGCTGCTCGACGTGAAGCCTCCTCCTCCGCATCGGCGAGGAGGCTTCCGTCGCAGCACCACCACAGCGGTAGCCTTAGCTCTTCTGGCTACGGCGGAGAACCGTCCGATCAATCTGATATCGGCGGTGCGAAAATGAAAGGGCTTTTCAAGTCTAAGCCACGCACTCCTGCTGACCTTGTTCGACAAACGCGCGATCTCCTTCTCTACGCCGATCGATCTACCTCTTTGCCTGACCTTAGAGAATCCAAACGCGAAGAAAAGGTTCCATTTTTATATACATGATTCTTTCATTTGTTGAATTCTTCTTGGTGTTTGGTTTTGGTATCTTCATTACAATAATGTCGTTCCTCTCTATACCATTTGTGCTCCAATTATGACCATGAATTCTTCTTGGGATGATGTATGGTTGCAGATGGCGGAATTAAGCCGGAATATCCGTGACATGAAGTCGATTCTCTATGGAAATAGTGAAGCCGAGCCTGTCGCTGAAGCTTGTGCACAGTTGACTCAAGAATTCTTTAAAGAGGATACTCTACGTCTCTTGATTACTTGTCTCCCTAAACTTAACTTGGAGGTAACTAACATTTTCACATTTCCCCTATAGGAAAGACATCATTTTTGAGATACATTCGATGATTGAATTGCGAAATCGGTTGTTTTTTTTTAATTAGGCCAGGAAAGATGCTACACAAGTTGTTGCAAATCTACAGAGGCAACAAGTCAATTCACGGTTGATTGCATCTGATTATCTTGAAGCCAACATTGATCTTATGGATGTTTTGATTGAAGGGTGAGTGTTATGTTACTATTAGTGTCAATTCATGTCATTGAAGTAATTAGTTGGTAGTTTTTTCAAATTAAGAGATTCCTCATTTTTTATAGCTTTTCATGTTTTGTGTCAGCTTCGAGAACACAGACATGGCTTTACACTATGGTGCTATGTTTAGGGAGTGCATCCGTCATCAGATTGTGGCCAAGTGAGCAAATCATTTCATTTTCTTCAGTTTACAATCTGTGAAGTAATTATCGGTTCAGAGGTATCGAAAAATGGGTTTACTAACACAATTTCCTTGGATTCAGATATGTTTTGGAGTCTGACCATGTGAAGAAATTCTTCGATTACATACAGCTTCCTAATTTCGACATTGCTGCCGATGCTGCTGCTACTTTTAAGGTTCCAAAACACTGCAACAAACTCGCATTTTTGCTTGGATCTTTCCCTGTCCGGGACTATTAAACATGCAATCATAACTCCAAACCTGTAATTTTATTTTCACAGGAACTGCTGACAAGGCATAAGTCTACTGTTGCCGAGTTTCTCACCAAGAATGAAGACTGGGTAAGTTTTCTAACTACGCTATGATTCATGCTTGAAGACAGAACATTGTTATTTGTGCTTGCGTTAGACTTGCATCATCTCAAACTTTTTTCGTTTGCAGTTTTTCGCAGACTACAACTCAAAGCTTCTTGAATCAAGTAATTATATAACCAGACGGCAAGCTATTAAGGTAGGGTAACTTATACAATAGTCTAAAACACTGAAACGATGGTAGTGTCTGATCAATCTGATGTACTGTATGGTGTAAATGTTAAACAGTTGTTGGGTGATATATTACTGGATCGATCAAATTCAGCTGTGATGACGAAATATGTGAGCTCAAGGGATAACCTGAGGATTCTCATGAATCTTCTGAGAGTATGATGCTTTACCCTCCTTGATCTTTTTGTTCTTGATTATATTAGTTTGGGAAATATACTCAAATCACTTTGATTTACAGGAGTCAAGCAAGAGTATCCAAATAGAAGCATTCCATGTCTTCAAGGTATAGTTTATCTACATTAAAGGGATGTAACATAATGATGATTGTCACTTGTCAGTCCAATGTGTATGTACTGAGATTGTCGTCGCTGTTGTACAGCTGTTTGCAGCGAACCAAAACAAGCCTGCGGATATAGTCAACATTCTGGTGGCAAACAGAAGCAAGCTTCTGAGATTGTTGGCTGATTTGAAACCAGACAAAGGTATGGAAGTGATCTTGTTAAATGACACGCTTGTATCCGATCCTTCTCCTCCGTAACCTTAATAATGCTTTGTTTGGTTGGCAGAGGATGAGAGGTTTGAAGCAGACAAAAGTCAGGTTTTGAGAGAAATCGCAGCCCTTGAACCACGAGATCTTGCTTGAACCAACCAACGCAAATCATCTCCTTCCTTCCCTTTTAAAACACACCAAAAGACATTTTTGAAGCATCTTGTTGTTTTCTTTTATTAGGTAACCAATCTTTCTCACTTTCTCTCTCTCTCACACACACACACATACGAGATATCTATTCGATATATGTATTCATATGTACACTACTTCACTGTCGATGAAATAAAATGGTTTGTCAGAAGTTCACTTCGTGAATGTTGTAAAAGAAGAGCACAAGAGTCGTTCAACTTCAACAACTATTAAACATCAAATGTATTAATTTAATCTCGCAATATATATGTATGTAGACACCCGAAATCAAATCAAAATTAACAAACACACAACCCATAATGACCAAATAAACCAGAAAATTTTACTCTAAATCTTTTACACAGTCTATACGTATAGAGACCGACCATCGTTGCCTACTCGCTGACCTGTTTTCGCAGATTCCTCTGCTTTCCCTCTCTTTATGACTACATACCAAGTAAACGCTTCGAGCAAAGCCGCGACTATACCTAGTACTACGATTATAGCAGTGTACGCGTTTCTCCACTGCTTCTCAGGGCTCAAGATGTCTAGTCCTTTAAAAACGTTTACCACCGCAAGGATGATTACGGTGTAGCCTACGGTGTGGTGATAAATGTTCCAGTAGACTCTGTACTTGTGCTCTGGTTTGGGTCTCAGAAACATTGCAAATACCTAACGTACGTGTGACACAAGCAATTTAGTAATTGCAACATTTTCATGACAAATGTAACACTCTCGGTACTGTTAACTAAAACCTACCTGAATTGTTGCGAGACAGAAGAGAGCGATCCCAACAGCACGGTGAAAGGTAAACTGAATCCCGGCTGATTCGCTGCCCAGTTTGAGACCTGTGGCCCAACCGGCAACACCAATGATGTAAGCAGAAGACTGGCAGAAAACATGAAGGTAGAACCAAGCTGGATCTGCTGATTTTGAGACTTTCAAGTAGCGAGCAATGATTGCCCCTATTGGCATCATTATTCCCCAGCTCACACCGTTCAATATTCCATGTATCTGCCATAATGATTAGAAATTAATCCTACTGTTAAGTTTCTTCAAACCAACTAACAATGATTGGATTAGTGAAACCATGGACTCACGTTGCGCTTGCGTAGCTTGGAAGCTCCTCCTCCTCCTCCGGTTGAGGTGGAACCAGATGCACCGGAGACAAGGTTAAGAGTAGAAACAGAGCGAACATTGTTGCCAGAAGTTGGATGAGGCAGAGGATTGTTCCCTGACAGAGACCCATCTTGCCACACAGTATTAATGATTCCACCATTCGCAAGTGGAAGATTCAACGTTGCGAAGATGACCATCTCGTTGTTTTGGTAAGTAGCAGACAACTCAGAGACGTTGAAACTCAGCTCAGCTTCTTGGAGACTCGTTTGGTAGCTGCTGATAGGTGACGTGTAAGCCCTAACGCTGCCGTCTGATTGTGGATAAGCCACAATGGCTTGAGCTCCGACCATACCGGTGGATGTAGGATTCACTGCCCATGCCACCCATTTCCCGGAGGTGAGCTTTGTGTGGCGGTACGCGATTTGGAGATTGCCTGAAGAAGAATCATAAGTGTAGTGGAGGAAGGAATCAAGAACAGAGAGGTCGTTGCAAGACTCAAAGAGACGGTTGGTGGAGAATTTGTAGTTAGAACATTTCTGAGCCAAGGCGGATTCAGTGATGATGAAGATCAAAACAGAGAGACAAAGGAGATGATTTGGGGATTTGGCCATGGAAACAGAATCTCGAGTTATATGACTAAAGATGGATGAGATTTAGGTATGAAGGGGAAGAGAGGAGAATGAGATTAAGTATGAATAGAAAGTGGGACAAGTAGGGTTAGGTTTGTTAGTTAATCTGTCTTAATAAAGAATCTTAATTCTTTTCACACTTGTCCTTTTTTCATAGTTTAATCTTTCTTTAAATCCTCTGCTTTTCTTGTTCATCTATCAATTGCAATGTTTTACCGTAAGAGTAACCAATATATAGAAACATTATAGATGAAGCGTTCATTATTTTCCCAAAAAGGTTTGACGTGCAATGTATTTCTTCCTTAGAGTCTTTAACCCTCTCAAGCAAAAAACCAAGAAATATAGAATGTGAAAGTAAATAAACAAAAGTAGTTATAAATAAATAAAAATATGAAGGGGTCATCTTCACGTTCAAAAGCCAGTTCACACCTGCCTGACCAACTATATTACGAACTCATTTCTCGTGTGTTTTATTTTTCTTTGTTCTTCATGACAAATTAATCTTTATTCATAACATTTCCCTTTTAGTTAGACTATAAGCTACACTTGGGATGATGATAAATTATGGAGCACACTAACATATTAAGTATCATTCATAGGATTAGTGGTGTAATTCAAGGGAATGACTTTCGCGTAATAAAGAGCAAACACATACTATCTTGCAACTACTAAAGTTGTGCATGTATGTGCCCTAATTTATTTATTTTTGAACATCTGTCTTGTTGTTCTAGTTTATCTAATTCAAACATCCACCACCTTATGAGTTTGGACCGAAGCGGACGAGGCCAAATACTGAGTTTGTGAGAGATTCCAATCCAAGGGAATTGGTTTGGTTTAGCTGTTTAGGGTTAGGTTCTTCTATATATGGGTCGCGCGACCAAAATTTCAACTGCTAACCACGTGGTTGTGTAATAATGTCCTTTCTAGGTCAACGCTCCAATTACTACCTGCCACATGTCCCCTACTAGATTCTTTGGTGTAGCTGGGCTCAGTTTGAATTAGACTCTTTTATATGGGCTTTTAGGTGTGGATTATTCAAAAAAAAAGAAGAGAGGAGATATTTAGATATATAATATGTGTATTTTTAGTGAATGAAAAGTACTTTGAATTATTAAAAATCACTAGTTTCCTGAGAAACAATTCAAATTGAATAGTTTTTAGAGGGAATTATGATTTGGGTAGCTTTTGTTGATGTTAGAAATATAAATATTTTATTTTATAAAAAATATGATTGAAATCCCTGATATTTGAAAGTTTTTTTTGTGTCTAATAAATAACAGTGTTAAATATATCTATATCTTTGTAACACTAGAGTGTACATAATTGGTAACTAAATAATTGACTAACAAGTGATATGTTTCAAGTGAAACTTAAAACAAAAAACCATCAAACCAATGGACAAATAAATTAAAATACCTATGATAATAAAAAGTGGTAAAAAAGTAGGGCCTATGGTAAAATAGGGTAAGTGGGTCCATAAGGGCCCAAGATGTTTTATTTTTGCTGAGCCCATTATTACCAATCCGAACCGAAATGGAAAAACTCCGGTCTCTTTCTCTCTCTCTCTCTCTGCCAGAGTAACTGCGTGTCTTTGATTTCCCAGAAGAAGCGTTGAATCCTTTCGTTTTCCGATTCCATTTTGGGATCTCTTGTTTCGTTTCTTCTCTTTGGATCCATTCCTTCATGTACCCCTCCCAATTTCTTAAATCGTTGTTGCTTCTACAAGGTAATTTTGTTTTCCTCTGCAATTCCCGAGAAAAAAAAGACAAGGTTTTTCTCCATTTTCCCTTAAATGATTATCCCTGTAAATGTGAGGTTTTTGGTATGTTTTGTCAAATGGGTCTTCAGAATTTGTGATCATCAACGTTTTCTCTCTGTTTTTATGTGTGTGTGTGTGTGTGATCTTATATTTGAAGGGAATGTAATGTGATCTCTCATTCTGTTTTTTACTTGGTTTCTATTACAATGCTCTGTTTCCTTTAAAGAGTTCTTACAATCTCTCTAGCGAAATGGGTTCTTACTTGGGTTTAGTTTCTTAGGTGAAGTTTCGATTTTTTTGTTGTGAATTGGTATTTATAAATCATCTCTGTTACACATGTCTCATCATCTTTCTCAGAAGTAATGTGTGGCCTACCTTCATTTTCTAATGCCGTATTTTGAAGATAGATTTTCATATTCAGGCAGATATTATATACCTGCAGCAATCATTAACGCAATTCATGTTTTAATGTGAGCCCTAAGGACAAGACTGAGAATTTCTATCAGTGTTTTAAGATTGCACTTTGTGTGATCAAGTGATTGAGTAGTGTTGGTTGAATTGGGCCCGCGCTTGTCTTTTCGGTCTCAATTCTGTTTCTCCTTATGATAGAGAAAATCTTTCTCTGCTTTCCTATTGGAGGCTTTCATGATTTGTGAATAGTTAGTATCTACCGTCTTTAACTTAGATTCTTAGTGTGAGCTCACAACTAAAGTTGCCTTTACTACTTGTATGTAGGCTTAATGAGCTTGTATAACAAGTTTCTCTAGGAGGTGTTTAAGGGTCAGATCCAGCTTTCAGAAGAGGTAACTTGTATTGCTGTCTTTACTTTGGATCCAGAATGCGTTTATGTGCTGAATCATTTGCTTGTTATAGATTTTCTTAGGGTGGTTGAGAGCTGAAAGTTTTGAAATTTAGTCAACTTTGCTCCACAGAACCTTCTAGGAAGCTACCTCAAGTAGACAGGTGATCTTAAAGATTCTCTTATTCTTAACTCTTAGATCTCAATCTTTCCTGTTTCTCAAGTTTCCTTTGCCAACTGTTCTTATACTTGTCTACCCTCTTCCTCACCTTGGCACTTTGTTTTGTCCTTAGCTTTGTTGACGGGCTACAAGCCAGCCAGTGGTAAAGATATGTTTCTGTAGAAGGGGTAATCTCGAGCATATAAAGGAGATGGCTTTCTACTCTGAGGATGACAAGAGCGAAGACTACCTCTTTAAGATCGTTCTAATTGGTGATTCTGCTGTGGGGAAATCAAATTTGCTTGCCAGATTTGCGAGGGATGAGTTCTATCCCAATTCAAAGTCGACGATTGGAGTGGAGTTTCAGACACAAAAGATGGATATTAATGGAAAGGAGATCAAAGCACAGATATGGGACACAGCGGGTCAAGAACGTTTCAGAGCAGTCACTTCTGCGTATTACCGAGGTGCAGTAGGAGCTCTTCTGGTTTACGACATCAGCAGACGGCAGACTTTTCACAGCATTGGTAGATGGCTCAACGAGCTACACAGTAAGAAACCACACACAAAAATACACTTATCTTTCTTTCTTACCTTCTGCTAAACAATCTTCCAATGAAAATGTTTTTCTTTGCTAATTGGTTCAAGAATAATGAAACTGAGGGTTGTCTTCATAAAACTGTTGCAGCACACTCTGATATGAATGTTGTGACGATCCTGGTGGGCAACAAGTCGGATCTGAAGGACTTGAGAGAAGTGTCAACAGCGGAAGGGAAGGCATTGGCTGAAGCACAAGGTCTTTTCTTCATGGAGACATCTGCTCTGGACTCATCAAACGTGGCAGCTGCGTTTGAGACGGTTGTGAAGGAGATATACAACATACTGAGCAGGAAAGTGATGAGCTCACAGGAGCTAAACAAGCAAGATCCTGCTTCACTCAGCAATGGCAAGAAAGTTGTGATTCCATCAGATGGGCAGGGGGAGTCCAAGAAAGGTGGATGCTGTTCTTCTTGATAGAAACTAAAATTGTAGAGAGCTTAAAAAGGAAGGTTATTATTGATCATCTGTTTGATTGTTTATTTTGTCCACGCTGACATGAATGTTGAAGTTTGAGATGGGCTTGTGTTGTGGTGTGGAAGTGTTTAGGGTGTAGTAGCAATCTGTAAATTTTCTATTGCAGAATCTTTATGAAACTCACACTAGTCTCTCCATAAAGTTTGTTGTTTAACTTGACGAATGCTCATGATGATGATGGTTAATTTGTCTTCTGTTATTGTCACTTGTTATATGCCAAATCTTTATACATAGATCCTGTTACTAGAAATGATTTGTTCCCAAAGTAAAATAGTACTAATATGCACTAATAAATAGTATTGTTATTCCAAAGAAGCATTTGTCATCGGGAAGAGGATCAAATCGAGCTGTGGAATTAGATTAATAGAGAAATAAATGCGAGAGATGAAAGTTTTGTGGTGCAGAGATCACACGTGCAGTTGCATGTGAGACAGATTGGCTCTACACATGATTGCATTAATCGCCGTAGTACGGAGGATTCCACACACTATCATCATCATCATTATCGTCATCATTTCAGCTCATTAAACCGGACATTTTCTTAACGATTGTCTTACGTTCTAAACCGGTTTGCATTTGGCTATAGGTTTGATTCGGTTGAATGGCCTCAATAATCTCCGCGAGTCCATTCAAGACCTGAAAATAGGAGAAAAACCATTGAATCTTAAGCATATACAAGTAAAACTGTAAATGAAAAGCTCAAATGCTGTCTAGTCATTTAGCTTCTCTTGTCTCTCTTTACCTTTTTTGTCTCGTGGAGTGATACCTCTAACATTTCAATTCTCTGCAGGAACCAACCACACAAATCAGTCAGTCAATAGATTCTTAGATTCATGTCACTAAGTATTTTTCTTCTCCTCAATTTCACCTTGTGGGAATCCTTGACAGCAGTTTTCAGGGCAGCATACTTCTCCAATGTGATCATGATCTTGCCTGAACTTTCCTGCATTCCATTTATATATCTGAATCAGCTTTCCAAAATTGAATTCAAGAATTCGATTTTCATTTACACAAATCCTTTTGTACTTTTTGATTGGCTGGAGCATTTTCTGTGACTTTATCCATACTCTCTAATTCCGCATCTCCGATTGTGGAAGGCTCCTATAAATATCGAACAAATTATCCAAATTGAACTGTGTATAGTACTTGATGAAAGTTCAACCAATGGTTATGGCACAAACCTGGATCTTTTCCTTGATGTCTGGATCATTCCAAGGTCCTTCATCGCTAAAAAGACAGCCTCCATGATCTGAACAGGTGCAGTTTCCTCCAAGAAATGTTGGTAAGTTGCTGTTTTTTGAAATCAAACACAAACAATGCTGAGATTCCAACGCAATTCCAAATATACGACTAACGGGTTTAGGAGAGAAAGAAATCTGAAAAGGGTTTATACCTTGGATCTATTGCTTCAAGTAGTTCTCCAAGGTAATTGGGTCCTAGCACCTACAACAAACATAATTTTGGTAAAGAATTTGTGACTAAACCAAAAGCAAGCATCGAGTGGCATATCATGCTTACTTGAACTTTGGCCAATGTCCGAGCATCAAGAAAGGTCTTGAGTGCAAGCCACAACATCCGGAATCCAGAACTTGCATTGACAACGAAGAGGCGATGCAAAGTCTATAGCCAAAACCAATCAGAACTACAAGCATTATTTGTTGACATGAAGCTCGTAATGAATCCACGTACCTCAGGGTAGTAGTTGCTGTCTATCTTCTGAATTTCCATGAAGAGAGATCTGGCAGGTTTTGAGAAGTTTGACATTCCCTTTTCAAAAAACAATGGATCATCTCACAAACAATATGTTAATAACATTTCATCTACAATATAAAAGGCGGACTGCTTACGATTCCAGAGACATCCAAAATGGTAGTGGTAGACGAAACATGCTTGTCTGCAGCAATAGAACAAGCTGGATATCTGAATCTCAGCGTTTTCTCTTGTTCTTTAATATGATACTTAACATATCTGTCAATGGTGGTTGCTTTGAGAAACGCGGTCAGGTCAGCCATGCCGAGTCTCTCAATGTAAATTGGCCTACCAGTTTTGTCAACCTTATGAAACCCATGAGGGTAATGTTTCTTCACTTCACCATATTCCTCAAACTTAAACGTCTGTCAGACATTTCGTCGAACACGTTGTGAGTATGCTGATCTAAACGAAAAATAAACCTAAAGGTCTCGCATTTTTTCTTACCTGAGAGATCAAATCCACTTTATAATCCACTCGCCACTTTATATAATTTAAAAACGCATCTTTAGACTTCTCCAGATCAAAATCTCTCATTTTTAGAAACCTTATATGACAAAATGAAACATTTTGAGAAGAAAAATCAACCAATCAGGGTGATTTTGGGTGATTAGGATGATTACCTGCGAAGTGTATTATGATCTCCGTGCTTTGTAGGTAAGTTTCCATGGAGGAGAAGCAAGTTACGAAACGCTTCAACCATATCTTCATTATTATTTGGCAAAGAATCATCTTCATGAGAGATGTGTATATCTCTCTCTGTTTCTTGCATCATCATCTGCAATGATCGATCATTCATGGGGCTCTGTTTCTGAAGAAGAAGAAGAATATATGAAATACAACAAGGTGCATTGGAATTGAAGTAGTGAGGAAGAAAAGAAAAGTTGTGAGAGAGAATCGAATAATTGGTTTCTCTCCGCGCGGGAAAAGTTAGGCGAGAGAAAGAGAATAATAACGGTCTTTTTGTTTGCTTTTACGGCGTCGTTTCTGTTTGCATTGAAACAAGGAAGGCCCACTTACGATTTTATTAGATAAACTGGGCCTACTTTTATTACTTAATGATGAGCTGAGCCCACTTACGATTTTACGATTTTATCTGTGTATCTCATGAAGAATCTCTACCACTCTCATTCGTCATTACATTTTGTTATTGGTTTATTGATTTGTAAGTCTATATAGGATTTGTAAATTTTTATTAATTATGAAATCAAGATATATGAATTTTGGAATAACATGTGTTTACCCATGGATTTGAATCTTTCTATTTTTTCTTTCAAATCCATTCAAATCAATTTAAAACATAATTGTTTGAAATCCAAAAACAAATGACTAAACGAATAACATAAGATTTTACTTAGTATTTCTAAATCATATAACCAATACTACATGATTTTAGTTAGAATTTTAAAATTAATGATTAAATAACAAATGATTTTTGTTTGGATTTCCAAATCCTTATAAATCCATGAACTAATAACCCCTCATAATTTAGAGTCTTAGACATGCATATATCCTCATAAATTTTACTCCCTCTGTCCCATTTTATTAGATGTTTGAACTAAAAGCACAAATATTAAGAAACAATAAATATATTCTCATTTATGAAAATTCAACCAATAGAAGAAGATCCTGCATAATTAAAATAATTAAAATCTATTAAACTAATATAAATCATGCATTGAAAGTAGAGAAAATCTTATATAGTGGAACAAATAAAAAGGCCTAAAACATCTTATATATTGGGACAGAGGGAGTATTAAAATGTCATTTGGTTCATTCTAATAGGATGAATATTATTATTAGGTTGTAGCATTTGATTGCTTTATGTTTTAACTAAAAATTTTAGATCGGTCGAAATAAAAGGTAATAACGAACGGGATCGGATATCAAAGGAGTCTATGGTCCCCTTGGGATTTAACCAAAAAGGTTTGGAACAATCTCCAACGTTCAAAATATATATCTAGCTATAATGCTAGATTGATAAATGATGAGTGCAACTTTTCAAAGGAAGTAGGACCCAAAGGAGGTTCACGTGATGCTTAAGAAGCAGTGTGTCCGCACTATCATTAATTTCTCACCCATTCTTCTTCTTTAATTCCCTCTTTTGTTTCCCATTTTGCTTTATCGTTTTCAATTTTCATTTTTCTCCTCAACAGGACCGTTTTATTGTCCATATTCCCATTTTACACCGAAGCCATATTTAAATGTCAATAGATTGGGTGCATGTGTATATGTATAATTAGAAAACTACGAACGAGAGGGAGAGAGAGGGAGTGGGTTCCTCATGCTACATTGTGGTTAATCAAGCATGCGCTTTTCAAATAAAACTAATCAAGATTATGGGCAGTCCCAAGATATAATATATGGTAGCCATAGGCTATGAAAAAACAATTAGTCACACTTAAATAATAAATCATGGGTTCCTATTTATAATTAGCAATAAAGCTACACTATTGGTCGAATCTGAAATAAAGACAAACCCTAAACTCATCAAAACCTGAAATATATATAGTTAGCCAAACACGTAATTCCAAATAGAAAAAATAAACGACCTAACACGTACGATAATAGGCAGACTACTTTTTATTATATAAATAAAATATAACGACTCAATTTCTTGGTTTAAATAGTAAAAGCTAATACATATGAAGACAAAAACATATAGATCTTGCATTGTGTAATTCTTTGCCTTTGTTGCCTACACTTCACCACAAAAAATATGACCGTTGAGAAAGGACCACCTTATTACAAGTACATATATAAAACCTATTGATCCTCCATCGTAATTTACTTACTCCGACCGTTTCCTTTCTCACAATCCAATGGCGCAACTTACTAATTCCCTCAATTATCTCTTTTATGTTTCTCTCTTATTATTTGTATCATTCCACTGCTTATGTTTTCGTTTTTGTTTGGTTGCAGCTTGTTCAAACTCCACCGACGATCAACAGACTCAACACCATCACCACCGGAAATGGGTTGGTCCCTCAGGCCACAAAGTCATCACCGTCTCACTTAACGGCCACGCTCACTTTCGCTCCGTCCAAGACGCTGTGGATTCCATACCAAAGAACAATAACAAGAGCATCACAATCAAGATTGCTCCCGGATTTTACAGGTACATATAATCCCCTAAATCCCTAATGAATTCTCCTTTTTGTTTTCACCTAGTTCTCCTTTATTTGTCACACTTTTTTTTTCTTGTTTCATGCATACATGCAAAATTTTTCTTGAATTATTTTTTAAGGGTAAAATCTAACTTTACATATAAATATATTTTCCAGAGAGAAAGTGGTAGTTCCAGCTACAAAACCGTACATAACGTTCAAAGGAGCGGGTCGGGATGTGACGGCTATAGAGTGGCACGACCGTGCGTCCGACCTTGGAGCTAACGGTCAACAGTTACGTACTTATCAAACCGCTTCCGTCACCGTCTACGCTAATTATTTCACCGCTAGAAACATTAGCTTCACGGTACTCTATTTCTTACGCAATTATAGGAAAACTTTCACAAAAATGTGAGTCTTTATTTATGTATTTAAAATTGTGAAGAATACTGCGCCGGCTCCATTGCCGGGGATGCAAGGGTGGCAAGCGGTGGCGTTTAGGATCTCCGGCGACAAAGCTTTCTTTTCCGGCTGCGGGTTTTACGGTGCACAAGACACTTTATGCGACGATGCTGGCCGTCATTACTTCAAGGAGTGTTACATTGAAGGCTCTATCGACTTTATCTTTGGTAACGGCCGCTCCATGTATAAAGTAAGGACTTCTAAATAACATTAATTATGAATATATTACTTTTTATAACCAGAATATCCGAGGCGGAGATAGACCAAGTTTTGGGACTTTGTGGAATAAACTTATTAATGTGTTGCTTGTTGGTGAAGGATTGTGAGTTGCATTCGATAGCGTCAAGATTCGGGTCGATAGCGGCGCACGGGAGGACATGCCCGGAGGAGAAAACGGGGTTCGCGTTCGTGGGTTGTCGGGTTACAGGTACGGGTCCGTTGTACGTGGGCCGGGCAATGGGACAATACTCACGTATCGTTTACGCCTACACCTACTTTGATGCTCTTGTGGCTCACGGTGGCTGGGACGATTGGGACCACAAATCCAACAAAAGCAAGTACGTACTTCTTGACACAAAATGTGTAAGATTTGAGTTAATCCGAAGAAATTAATGACTGAGAAAAATGTTGAAAATCATTAGGACGGCGTTTTTCGGAGTGTACAATTGCTATGGGCCAGGAGCAGCAGCGACGAGAGGCGTGTCATGGGCTAGAGCGTTGGACTATGAATCGGCCCATCCGTTTATAGCTAAGAGCTTCGTTAATGGTAGACATTGGATCGCTCCTCGAGATGCTTAACCAACGTCAAACCTTGGCGGGGTTTCTTTTCCTAATTCCTCCTTCGCTCATTATTATTTTTATCATTCGTTTATTTATTTTATTGTTTTATTTTTTTCCCAATTTATTTTTATACATTGTGTGATAGTACAAAGTATTGCTTCTTCTTCATCTGTGTCCATTTCAGTTAAATGTTTTGAGGTTATTATTTGCATACAAAGTATACGCATTCGTTTTTCTTTGCTCATTTTTTTTAAATCTTCTTTTTTTCCTATTTATTAATTGAACAAGTGTAAATTATATAACCTTTGCTATAAATATAACTTAAATCTTATCACTTTTTTTATATTATTCTATATGTATCTTACAAAAAGAACATATAACATTTTATTTGGCTGGAAAATTCAACTAGTTTCATACTGAAAAAATTGGCTTAGGAGAGAGTAAATACAAGATGTGTCACATTGTTCAACTTCCGACTTCTCTGTTGTGTTGACATAGAAAGAATTAATGAATAAGAAAAAACAATACATGAAAAATTGGTCAGATTTGACCTTATTATATATTTTAGCGAAAGGTACAGTTTTGCAACTCTCTCGATCGAAGACCAACTTTTGGTTCCATTCTCAAAACCCAAATGAAGCAAAGAATCATCATCTATACAAACTGCAATTATATATTGCCTGCCCCTATCACTCAAGAAGAAGGCGTAAATCCAAGCTCCATGGATTGGTTTCTCTGTGTGACTTTCCTACCTGTGACAATCAATAACCAAAAACTTTGTGAAATATTTTTTCAGTTCCTGGTAACTTAGAGTTCCACTTCCTGAAGCTCCTCTACTAAGCTGCTGCTGCTACTGTTGAGTAGGATTGGTTTGAAGGTTGATGGACTGGTCGGAGGCGTAAACGAGGTGTTGAAGTTTCCGCTCCATGAAGCTGTTCTTCTGGAAGCAGGAGGCTGATGATCCCCATTGACGCTAATCCCCAATCCATTTCTTTGGATGTTATCCATACTTGGATATCTCTGCATCATCATTGGTGGTGGAGCCCCTGAAGAGGCTACTACTTCATCTGCCGAAATCTCCTCCTGTCTGGTTTCAGCAGCAGCCGGTTCCATTGCCTGGTCGTTTGAAAACGATGCAGGTGCTGCGGGAACAAAGAACTTTGCTTTTGCCGGAATTGGTGGTTTTGCAGTTTGTACGGAAGGTGACGGATACATGGTCTGAGAGTTTCCACGGCCTAAATTATAGGTGTCAACGTATCTGCCCAAAAAGAGAGTAAAGTGATTAGCTTTAAGCATGCATATTATCTTCAGTAAACTGCAAACAATTTCACTTGAAATTTTTTACAACTCACAGCTGGAAACAACAACTACAATCATGAAAAATTCGTGCCTATTTCATACTGAATGTTTCATCTTTTATATCTGTCCTGGTAGTAAACCAAGTGTGGCTTATATTCCGTCCTTAATGCAATTCTAATGTGACGGTACAATTGCGCTCATGATTTAGAATCCAGGATAGTCTCCACAGATTATAATTCTAAAATGCCTCAAGTTATTTGTTTACCTTGCCCGCAGACCCGTACGCCCACGAGCTGAGAATTGATTCGAACCGTGAGAGATTGGTGGGATTCCTGAAGAATTCTCTGATGGAGTTGGGCCGCCGGAACTCGAGTTCCCATTAGATGGATTGTTTTCATAACCCAGTGAGTTGTTTTGGAATGCGCCTATTGTTGGAGGAGGAGGCAGTGCAGCTTCCTCAGCTGGGGGTTCCACACCTCTTTCCACCCATCTCTTTAGTTTGTCATCATAGTAGAACTGATTTTCTGCGCCCAATTTTGCCTTGACCGGAAGCACGAACCGAAACAATTAGAATAAGTTCAAGAGATATCATCACAACCAAAGCATTTAGCAGTGTACCTCTTTGGATGGCCGAGATAAGACCCTTCCTACAGTGTCCTTCAGCATGCTAAAACCAAAGCGACTAAACCGCGAACCTGCCACTGTCCCAGATGATTTCAACTTTGTCACCCCATCAACTGCCTTTTCTTTTGAGGAGTCAGCCATATCCTAGAAAAAAGGAAACCTTTTATAAATTTCATATTTTCAAATATTCTTAGCGGTGATAATGGTTTTTTGGTATAGACCTGTATTGGCGTCCTACCGAAATCTGGCTCTGATACACTTCTAGTATGTACTGCCATTCTCCTCCCACTCCCACCCGACTCATGTCTGGGTTCCATTGAAGCAGGTGGCATCAATGATGACATTGTATTAACCGATTGACTATATGCTAACTTAGTGGCTTCCTGCTGTTGATGTTGATACTCATTTCCCTGTAGGTTTCCTTTGGTTGAATGTGGTGCAGGTGGTGGCATGCCCCCAACAGGACGATGTGCTTTACTACCAAAAAGGTTTAGCAGTACTCCAACAAGTTTTTCTGTGTGTAAATTCGCTGTATACCCGCCCTGAAATGGTCATGTTGCATCATTAGAGAAAAGAACAAGCTTTAGATTGTTCCCAGTTTTATGGATGTCCATAAGGCTGATTTTTTTTCTTCTCATTTCAAATTAATGGAAAGGAAAACTCACAGATGTAAATCTTATTTTACATTTCCATTTGAAGGAATAGACAGCTAACAGATGTAAACCAAATGGAAAAATCTATTGGTAGATACGGATTGGAACCAGAAGTTGTACCTGTTGGTGGATACGGATTCTCTCTTCAAGAGATGAAACAAACTGTTTCCACATTTCCACTTCTGGTGATCGGCCTGTCTTGAGGCATTTTAATACTGCTTGACAGTACCTGTATCAGCCACAGCACAAACGACATCAGGAAGCCATTATACAGTCTAACAAAGGAGTAGGTGGTGGAAAGTGAATCTCCTTACTTCAGTGCAGTCGAAAGTTTACCAACTTCAGCCAGCATATGGGCATATATGACTTTATATGGTTGAAACGGTAACAGGGTATACTGAGAGTTTCCCAGCGTCTTAGAGTATTCATATAACTCTGTCCTCTGCCCATGCAAAGATCAATCGACAAATAAAAAAATTATCAGACGATTAACAAAAAGAATGGTGTCATCCAAGAAGTTCGTTGGAATATCTATGCAATACATATTTGAGGAACATGGAGGGTATTTATGATATGCTCAAAACAGAATCGTCCTGCTAGTATGATGATAACTAAAAACCAGAATGATAAAAAAAAAAAATCACCTGTATAGCCTCTGGACTTGCATATGTTCGAGGATATTTCCAGTGATCCGCTCCAACAAGGCAGAGTCTGGCAGTATCTGAGTACGGATCAAAGTTCTTGTCCGCAATTAAATAGCAAATATGAGCTGCAATTATCTGATTCATAACAGTAGTTCAAGTGTCATGATAAAGTTTCATAGAGTAAAACAACACAACAAGGCAGAGAACCACCTCGCCCCTTTCTTTCCACATGCAATCTCCAAGATGAGTAATTACAAGCTCATCATCTGTGGTTCTGTTCGCAGTTATTATACCCAAATTCTCTTCCCAACTGTCAAGCATGCTACTACTTCCAAACTGCAATTCAGGGAAACATTAAGACAGTATTAATAAGCTCCCATGACAGAGCTTCATAAGAAAATATGCCCTTTGAAATGGAAGAGCGATCTAGTTCCCTATGGTAGAGAAAATATTTTTTTATCTTGCTGTGTCTTCTCTCTGTGTATACAGTTCCCGACTTTAATCATAGTAATAAATATTTAGCCATGATTGGGAGGAGATTGATTGATTAGATTGTGTGTTTTCTTACTTTGGATTTTGGGGTGTACCTATTTAGTATTTAATAAGCTCTTAAAGAGCAGTAAGGGGTATGTAATTATCGAACTCTTCGAAGGAACAAGAGAGTTTACCATTGTAATCTCTCTTGAGTATGTATATATCTTTTAGCAACACGTTTCTAAATTTCCTTTTTACTCTTTAGTCTACCACATTGTCTTAGTGAGACGAAATAGATGGTTTATGCTTTACCTGAGGTTGCTGCGGAGGCACATTTATGGAACCAGGAAAAGAGATATCGCTTGTACTTCCAGTGGAAAACACTTCAGCTGGTTGCCCTGCAACCAGCAGGCACAGTGTCCGTAAAGGTGACCCGGGTACCAGCTGGCGAAGGGCCATTTGTTTCACAGTGTCAATATAAAACTGCATCAATTAAGACATCGACCAAGTCAGTCAACCAAGCACTACAGTGCAATGTTTAGTTCTATAGCAATCAAGGGAAACAAACCTGCTGCCCAAGTTGTGCTGCGATAACAAGCGCTGGTCCCCATAAATGACCTTCTTGTGCACATTGGAGAGCATCCATCTTCCTGCCAGAAGCAAGAAGATTCTGCACCTCTGAAGCAGTTACCTGGACAATTCTTTCAAATGAGTTAATAAGCAAAACCAAAACCATGTTAATTATAGAAACATTCTCCTCGAAAGATAAATACAAGATATGATGTCAAATACTCACTTGCATTTGTGATTCCGGTGGTAAATGCTGTAAACATTGGCTGATAGGAGCATAACCATTTTGTACGCCATCTTTCTTGGCAAATGCAAAAAGCTTAGCGACTGCTGCTTCAGCAGAGTCCGTTTCCTGTTTGCAGTGTATATACAAGAATGAGAAAATTGTAATACATACCAATGTTTCTTTAAAAAAAGAAGTGACAAGACATCTCATGGATTGCTCACCTTTTGCGCTGCATCAGTACCAAAAGGAGAACGGAGTTTCCCATAATACTGACAAGATATTCTGAGCAAAGAAAGAAGCATCTTTAAAAGTTTCCCTCTTGAAAATTCCATATAGGAAGATTCACAATTCAAAATTTTCTCATCAAGCCACTTATGTAAGTCTTTACTTCCAACATTTCCTCCAACCAAGGGTCCTGGAAGAGATTGTTGATCCAGACAACTGAAGTAACTCAAAGAGTTTTCCCCGAGACTTGAATAGGAGGCACTCCCAGAAATAACTTCTGCCAAGTTTAAGACAGAGATGGAGCTTCCCCCAGTTCCATTCTGAGTCGGATAGAAAAAGGTTAGTAGTGAAAACATTTTCATAATTCACTTTATAATGTTATAATTAGAGAATATCTTTCATGCAAGTTCTCTGATAAGCATAATATAAGAACAAATAAGTGAGTTCCATAAACATCCCAGAGTGTAATTAACCTAATGAAAAATACCACTTCATTACCTGACTTCCAAATGATGAATTCTGGAGAGAACCATTATCATCCTTCATAAGAATGAGCTTTCCCCCAAATCCAAAATTGACAAGTGCATGTGGTGGCCGCCCATCAGATGATCTTCCTGCACTTGGGGAGACAAGCTGATTGCTCTGAAATGACTGTGGAGCATCATCTACAGATTCCTGTCTACTATAAAAATCGTTCGAGAAACTCATAGCTCCATTCTGCGTGACACTAGCCACATTCATATGCTGAGGGATGAAGCTCCGAACGCCACTCTCATATGGCTTAAACTGTTCAGCCACAGGTCCTGTACTGTACAAATTATTTACTTGCTGGTTTCCTGCGAAGTTTGATAATGAGGCAGGAGTTACAGCCGCCTCAGCCTTACCTGCATTTTCTGGTTGCCAAATGTTTGTAGCCTGCTGATTGTTGTCATAGTACGATTGATCCCAACTTCCATGTTGGCTCTGGATATCAAATGATTGCGTTCTGAGTATCTGATTTTTATCGTAAACATCATGTACGTTACTCTCTCTACTATGGTACATAGCTGTAAGAGCATTGCCATTCTGAACTTGCTGATCATTAGCTTGACCAGTTGTTTGAAAAGCCTGGTTGTAGCTGTCAAGAGAGCGCCATTCTTGAGCAATTGTGTCATAGTACCATCCCGGATACTGAGAGTCAAAGACCATGTGTTCTGGATACCCATTGCTCACTTGTGAAGCCTGGTTCCAAGTAGACACATTCTCAACTGTGCCAGCCACTGCAGATGCTGTACTCTGTCTCTGATAAGCAACATCCGAGTTATTAGCAGCAACATTTTCCCAGTTACTCGTTGAGTTTTCATAGCTCTCCTGTGAATTCATGCTTGCATCATGACCATCAACTTGATACCACTGGCCAGTACTTGCATCATATTTCCATCCAGGATAGAGATTTTCCCAAGACTGACTGTTATCCACGTACTGCCCGCTTGCAGAATCGAGGTGCACTTGACCCTGGTGTTGCTCAAACCCTGCCAAATTCTCAAAACCAACACTTGTGTTATTTGTATGATTGGCTATTAAGTTTCCTCCAGTGGCCACAGCTACATCTGCCTTTCCCTGTAAATTTCCTGCAGTTTCATCCAACTCAGTGAAGAAATCAGAGTCTGAACCAAACCCACGACCGTCATTTACAGATAAATCCGCATCAAACGAACCCCAATCTAGCTCCTTAACCCCAGGAATCCCGGGGTCGTTAACAATGGTGCATTCTTTTGCTGTTTCAGATAGTGGCATATCAGCTACCTCTGATCTCATTTCATCATCTCTTAATTCCTTTGCATCACTATGGAGAAATTGAACAGGTTCCGGAGCAATAGATGAAGGCTCGTCTTTTCCCACGGAACCACTTGCAACATCGTTCCCGAAAGCTGCTTCATTCAATGTGCCATCTACTTCACCCAAAGGATCTTTAGCAATGGAGAGATTGGAAAAAGCTCTGGAATCATCGGAGTCAGTTTCGTCGTCAAACTTGAGCTCCGTCACAGAGGATGAAGCCTGAGCTTCGCTGGGAGAATAAGCATCATCAACAAGCTTGTCGAAAAAATCCTCATCCGTTTGATCCTCCAGCAGGAATTGAGAAGCCGAAGCCATGAATCAAAATCGGAATGAAAATAACCCTAATCTAATCTCCAACAAAATCGCCGTGAGAGGTGACAAAGAAGATCAAAAGCCAAAGGAAGTAGTTCTATAAAACGCAGCGATCAAGTGGAGCATGATGCCATAGACTCCGATCCAAAACCTAGAAAGGATTCGTCGGCCCAAATTTGCTATTCGAAGCCCTTTTGTTTTCTATCTCAACCTTGAACGTCATTCTCACCAAACTGCTTCGCACAAAATTATCATCCGATATGATTCAAATTAACATCGAGCATGGTTGGCCGATCTGTTCGAAGGGATCATCAAAATGCAATGATCTATGTCTAAGGAACGAACTTACAAAATTTTCCGATATCTCGTATCTACTCAATGAAGGAGACAAAACCAGGAGCGTCTCCGGCGACATTGGCTACGTTTCTTTGTGACGACAGCTTCATGGCTAGCTACGTCATAAACACAGAGGTACGGTTTGATTCCAATTTCCTTGTTGGGATTCTACAAAAGAATCGGCTCGCTGAAAGATGCTCACAAGGTGTCTGACGAAATGCCTGATCCAGATTTGATATAATCACGCAAGGAAGAAGACATTGAAATTCTGGTTCTTACGTTGGAGGAACAAGGAAGAGAGACTCTCTCTGTTTCTAAAGCTCCACAGATCTGATAAATCCAACGGTCGCCATTGGATCGCTCCTCAAGATGCTTTAACCCAACCGGTTCTTCATCCGTTAATTAAATTAATTATATTTAGATCGGACAAATTAATAATAATAATAATATTCAATTAAAAAAAACACGAATTATCGGCCCAATTATTATTAATGGCCAGCCCACATAAAACAAAAACCAAATAAATAGGCACATGCCGATTACCAGCGGTTTTTTCTTAAAAGTCCGCGTTTCCGGTCCAAAGCGCGCACTGAGCCACATTTTCGGACACTAATGTTTTCTTTAAAAAAAATTAAAATTGTGATGGAAATGAGAATCGAATCTAATTGAAATTTACTACACATGGTGAACAAATTTGATTATCACTCATAAACGAAATATTAATGTGTATTATTGTGTAATTCCTCAAGTCTGTTAACAAAGAAAAATTAATGAATTTATATTTAGAAAAAAAAGAAAAAAAAAATACAAACGGCATAATACATATTTGCCCCCTGTCGTTGACAGAAGCAGAGTAAGTGTTTTATGTAATTTTGGGTAACTCATGGATTCACATTTGATTGATTGATCGATCTAACCTGTTGTTGTGACATTGAGCAAAACTTTTTTTGTTGTTGTTGTTGTTGTGATATTACAGATTTTTCAACTTACAGTTCCACTTCCTGAAGCTCCTCTCCTAAGCTGCTGCTGCTACTGTTCAGTGGGCTTGGTTTGAATGTTGATGCACTCGTTGGAGACATAAACGACGAGCTGTTGACGCTTCCGCTCCATGAAGCTGTTCTTCTTGATCCTGACGGAGGAAGATCACCATTAAGGCTTATTCCTGATCCACTTCTTTTGATGTTGTCTAGACTTGGAAATCTCTGCATTGCCATTGGAGATGGTGTCGGGGACTGGAATGAAGACTGGCTTGGTCCTGGAGCGCCTGCAGACCCTACTACCCCTTCATCTCCTGAGTTCTCCTGTCTGGTTTCATCACTAACTGATTCCATTACCTGGTCGTTTGCAAACGATGCCGGTGCTGCTGGGACGAAGAATTTTGCTTTTGCAGGAATCGGTGGTTTAGCAGATTGTACGGTAGGTGACTGATACATGCTCGGGGAGTTTCCACGGCCTTGATTAAAGGTGTCAACGTATCTGCCCCAAAAGAGAGTAAAATGATTACTTCTACGCAAGCACATTATCTACAGTAAAACACTAACAAGGGAACATTATATCCAGCCGCTTTTTGATAATGATCAGAGAACTTATAACTAACAGTTGCACAACCGTACACTACCCCATCAGAAAAAAATGCCCATCTCACACCGAAAGCTCTTCTGTACCAGCAAATCAATGGTGGCTTATATTCCCTCCTTATTGCCATTCTAACTAAGGATCCACGATAGTCTCCACAGATTATAATTTTAATGTGGTTTGTTTACCTTGCACGCACACCCATACGTCCACGAGCTGAGAATTGGTTTGAGCCCTGTGATACTGGTGGGATTCCCGAAGAATTCTCTGACGGAGTTGGGCTGCCACTACTCCAGCTCCCACTAGATGGAGACATCTCGTTCTTCATGTCAGATTTGTTTTCATAACCCAATGAGTTGCTTCGGAATGCGCCTAACGTTGGAGGAGGAGGTAGTGCAGCTTCCTCAGCTGGGGGTTCCACACCTCTTTCCACCCATCTCTTTAGATTATCGTCATAGTAGAATTGATTCTCGTCACCCAGTTTTGCCTTCACCCAAAACATGACTCAAAACAATTAGTATAAGTTCAAGAAGACTCATCACGACCTTAAGATTTAGCAAGGTGCACCTCTTTAGCTGAACGAGATGGTAAGACCCTCTTCAGTATTCCAATACCAAAGCGGCTAAACCGAGAACTTGGCACACTACGAGTTGCTTTCACCTGTGTCACCTCATCAGCAGCTTTGTCTTTTGAGGAGTCAGTCTGATCCTACAGAAAAAGGCAAAAACATATCAGCAATAAGCAATGGTTTTCTAAACATGTATTGGTTAGTGTAGTTAGAAAGCCTCCTTAGGATTACTCGATCCAGTGATTTAACCGAGGGTGGGGTGGCGGGATAGGGGAAATAGCATGATGAGGGAGCTACTTACCCGCAGGGTTAATCAAGAAATACAGCAAACAAGACATCTGTTGCTAATAAAAATGAAGAAAAAGAAATGGTTTTCTAGTGATATAGACCTGTATTGGCGTCCTACCGAAATCTGGCTCTGATACACTTCTAGAATGTACTGCCATTGTCCTCCCGTTCCCACCCAACTCACGCACGGGTTCAATTGAAGAAGCAGGTGGCATCAATGATGACATTGTATTAGCCGATTGACTATATGATAACTTAGCTGCTTCCTGCTGTTGATGTTGATAGTCATTTACCTGCAGGTTTCCGGTTGTTGGATGTGGTGCAGGTGGTGGCATCCCCCCAACAACACGAGATGCTGTAGTATCAATAAAGTTCAGGAACTTTCCAACAAGTTTTGCTGGGGCCATATTCGCAGTATACCCGCCCTGAAATAGAAATGTCCGATCAGTCGGATCATAAGTAAAAAAGAAGCTTTACGTGGTTCCCGTTTTATGGATGTCATATCTTTAATCAAAGTACAACTCACAGATGTAAATACTTTTCACTGTTGCATTTTTTTTCCTGGAAACTTCCCCATTTCCATTTAAAGGAAAAGACAGCTAACAGATGTCAACCCACCCAAAATATCAACTGTTCCATGTAACCAGAAGTTGTGTAAGTTGTACCTGTTGGTGGATACGGATTCTCTCTTCAAGAGATGAAACAAACTGTTTCCACATTTCCACTTCTGGTGATCGGCCTGTCTTGAGGCATTTTAATACTGCTTGACAGTACCTGATTCAGCCACAGCACAAACAACATCAGGAAGCCATTATACAGTCTAACAAAGGAGTAGATGATGGAAAGTGAATCTCCTTACTTCAGCGCAGTCGAAAGTTTACCAACTTCAGCCAGCATATGGGCATATATGATTTTATATGGTTGAAACGGTAACAGGATATACTGAGAATTTCCCAGCGTCTTAGAGTATTCATATAACTCTGTCCTCTGCCCATGCAAAGATCAACCGACAAATCAAGGGAATATCAAACAAGTAAGAAAAAGAATGGTATCCTCCATGAATTTCGTTGGGGATTCTATACAACACATTTGAGAAACATGGAGGGTATTCATAAAGAGGATCAAAATAGAATCTTCCATCTACAGTATTATGATAACTAAAACACAGTGATGAAAAATTCACCTGTATAGCCTCTGGACTTGCGTATGTTCGAGGACATTTCCAATGGTCCGCTCCGACAAGGCAGAGTCTGGCGCTTTCTGAGTATGGATCAAAGTTCTTGTCCGCGATTAAATAGCAAATATGCGCCGCAATTATCTGATTCATAACAGTAGTTCAAATGTCATGATAAAATCTTCCATGAAGTAAAACAATACAACAAGTCAGAGAACCACCTCGCCCCTATCTTTCCACATGCGATCTCCAAGATGAGTAATCACAAGCTCATCATCTGTGGTTCTGTTAGCAATTATTATACCCAAATTCTCTTCCCAATTGTCAAGCATGCTACTACTTCCAGCGGGACACACTTCAGCTGGTTGTCCTGCAACCAGTAGGCACAATGTCCGTAAAGGTGACCCTGGTATCAGCTGGCGAAGGGCCATTTGTTTCACAGTGTCTACATAGAACTGCAATTTAGGATATCACCAAGTCAGTCAACCAAGCAATACAGTGGAATGTTTAATTCTATAGCAATCAAGGGAAAAGAACCTGATCCCCAAGTTGTGCCGCGATAATAAGCGCTATTCCCCATAAATGGCCTTCTTGTGCACATTGTAGAGCCTCCATTTTTCTACCAGAAGCCAGAAGATTCTGAACCTCTGAAGCAGTTACCTGGGGAATTCTTCCTCGAGTTAATCAGGAAAAACAAATCGTCCTCGAAAGAGTATAAGGAATTTGATGTCCAATACTCACTTGCATTTGTGATTCAGGTGGTAAATGCTGCAAGCATTGGCTAATAGGAGCATAACCATTTTGTAAGCCATCTTTCTTGGCAAATGCAAAAAGCTTAGCGACTGCTGCTTCAGCAGAGTCCGTTTCCTGTTTGCAGTGTATATACAAGAATGAGAAAATTGTAATACATATCAATGTTTCTTAAAAAAAAGAAGTGACAAGACATCTCATGGATTGCTCACCTTTTGCGATGCATCAGTACCAAAAGGAGAACGGAGTTTCCCATAATACTGACAAGATATTCGGAGTAAAGAAAGAAGCATCTTTAAGAGTTTCCCTCTTGAAAAATCCATATAGGAAGATTCACAATTCAAAATTCTCTCATCAATCCACTTGTGCAACTCTTTACTTCCAACATTTCCTCCTACCAAAGGACCTGGAAGAGATTGTTGATGCAGGCAACGAAAGTAGCTCAAAGAGTCTTCCCCTTGACTGGAATAAGAGGAACTCCCAGAAATAACTTCTGCCAAGTTTAAGACAGAGGCGGAGCTTCCCCCAATTCCCTTTTCATCAGATAGAGATATATCAGCAGTTAAACCAGAAATAAATTTCACTTATTGAGGTTATAATTGGACAACATATTTCATACATGTTCAATGATAAGCAAAGAAAATTAGTGATAGCTCTACAGTAGTTTCATAAACTTCCCAGGGTGTAAAATAAACTAATGAAAATTCACACTTAAGGACTAACCTGACTTCCAAATGATGAATTCTGCAGAGAACCATTTATATCCTTCATAAGAATGAGCTTCCCACCAAATCCAAAACTGACAAGCGCATGTGGTGGACGACCATCAGATGATCTTCCCGCACTTGGGGAGAAAAGCTGATTGTTCTGAAAAGACTGATGAGCATCATCTACAGATTGCTGTCTATTATAGACACCGTTTGAGAAACTCAATGGTCCATTCTGTGTGACAGTAGCCACATTCATATGCTGCGGGATGAAGCTCTGCGCTCCAATCGCATTTGGCTTAAACTGTTCAGCCACAGGTTCTGTACTGTACAAATTATTTACATGCTGGTTTCCTCTGAAGCTTGATAATGAATTAGAATTTATAGCAGGCTCAGCCTGACCTACATTTACTGATTGCCAAGTGTTTGCAGCCTGCTGATTGTTGGCATAGTAAGATTGGTCCCAACTTCCGTGTTGGCTCTGCATAGCATATTCTTGCGCTTTGAAACTCTGGTTTTTGTCGTTAACATCATACATACTACTCTGGCTATTACTGTGATACGTAGCTGTATGAGCATGACCATTCTGAACTTGCTGATCATGAGCTTGACCAGTTACAGTTGTTTGAGAAGCCTGGTTGTAGCTGTCCAGAGAGCGCCACTCTTGAGCAATTGTATCATAGTACCATCCAGGATACTGAGCGTCAAAGACCATGTGTTCCGGATATCCATTCCCCACTTGTGAAACCTGGTTCCAAGTAGACACACTCTCGGCTGTGCCAGCCGCTGCAGATGTTGTACTCTGCTTCAGATAAGCAACATCCGAGATATCAGCAGCAACGCTTTCCCAGTTACTTGTAGAGTTTGTATAGCTCTCCTGTGAATTCACGCTTGCATCATGACCATCAACTTGATACCATTGACCAGTACTTGCATCATATTTCCACCCAGGATAGAGATTTTCCCAAGATTGACTATTATCCACATACTGCCCGCTTCCAGAATCGTGTTGCACTTGACCCTGCTGTTGCTCAAACCCTGCCGAATTATCTAAACCAACACTTGTTGCATTGGCTACTAATTTTCCTCCAGTAGCCACAGCTACCTCGGCCTGTCCCTGTAAATCCCCTGCAGTTCCATCCAACTCAGTGAAGAAATCAGAGTATGAACCAAACCCACGACCGTCATTTACAGATGAATCGGCATAAAACGAGCCCCAACCAACCTCCTTAACCCCAGGACTCCCAGATCCATCGACTATATTACTTTCTTTTGCTGTTTCAGTTAGTGGCATATCATCCACCTCCGATCTCACCACATCATCATCATCCCTTAACTTATTTGCATCACTGTTGACAAATTGAACAGCTTCCGGAGCAATAGATGAAGAAGGCTCGTCTTTTCCCACCGAACCACTAGTACCCTCGTTTGCAACATCGTTTCCCAAACCTGCTTCATTCAATGCGACATCTCCATCACCCACAACATCGTCAACGACGGAGAGATTAGCAAAAGCTCTGGCGTCATCGGAATCACTACCGTCATCGAATTTGAGCTCCTTAGCAGAGGATGAAGCGGTAGGAGTATAGGAATCATCAACAAGTTTGTCGAAGAAATCCTCGTCCGTTTGATCCTCCAGGAGGAAATCAGCAGTCGAAGCCATCAAAATTGACAACCGAAATCGAAATCGAAATTAAAACCCGAACCCTAAACCCCACAAAATCACAGAAAGAGATCGACGGATCTGCGAAAGCTTCGCGAGATGATCAATTGCAAACCGAAGTTAAATTATAGAAGATCAAGATCAAATAGAGTAGAGTAGCATAGACCGATCCAAAATCGAGAAAGGATTCGTCGGTGATTTCCCGGATCTAATCTCCGATCCAAACTCCGATTAGTCGGTGAAATCTTCGAGATCGAATGAGAGAGAGAGACTCTTTGATTTGTTTTTTTGTATTTCCTTTTCCGGATTTACCCTTATATGTTCCACAAGATTAATAATATTTCTTAGTGACTATGAGCCAATAATAATCCTTTTTTTTTTTGCTTTATTTTGGTAACATAATAACTACTGAGTATTGACCGTATTATTTAATTAAAAATAATTTTATGCCCAAAAAACATTAAATATACCTGTTTATAACGTTTTACCAAAAAAATATAAAGAATACAATGTACAGATGTTGATTTAAAAAAAACAACAATTACAACAACAAACCCAAATTAATTTCTGTGTTACCACTGCTATAAATAGATCAGACAAAATGATAGATTGTGTTCCATAAATGATGATATATCTAATCTAAGCTCGTATCTCTAACACTAGTATGTTAAAAAATAGTCACAAAGTTAATTTTTAAAAATTAGGAACAAAAAAAGAACATTGCATTCATACTCATTATTTTCTTCAAAATGGGTACCAATGGGAACCTATTGTAATCAAGTAATTTCGCAACATTTAAAATTATTTACAATGCTTCGGAAAAATCTAAGTTCACTAGCTTCTTATGAAGAAAAAAATTAATATTGGGAGGCCCAATTCTAATTAATATATATTAAAAAAAAAAAAATTATAGGTTTAATATATTAACATGATTTATATGTTAACCTAACTTGTAATCTTTGGTGGACTTATAAGATGATTGCTCTAACTCATGAAAAAAAATTATGAAACAAACTTGTGTCATCCGATATGATTTGTGATTTCACCCATCATCTTCTATCAATGTTCTGCTAAAAAACACTATAAAAGTGGAACATATATAGATTTCCATTTTCTTCGTCTAAAATGTTGACTAGAAATAAAGACTAATAAAACTAGATATCCAATTTTCGACCATTTTTCTTTTCCATAAATTGATAGAAGAAGAAGACGAACAAAATGAAAACAATCAAGACAAAAGAGGCTTCTTAGAGTCGAACTCACTCTCAAAACTCTCAATTTCAGAGAACCCTTCTTTGCCTTTAGCCCATAACACAAGGTATAGCCCTACGAACATCAACACCATCCCTCCCACACTGCAATTTTTTGTTAATCATTCATTAAAAGAAAGAAATCAAATATTATAACCTTTGGAACTATAACATATCGGAGTAACTATTAGTTCTGACGGTTTGGATTTTAATCTGGTAACAATGAGCATATGTTTAGATGGTAATTCAACATTTGTAATGTTACCAATAGAAACCTAAAATTGTTAAAAGAGTTGTGTTAATGTTCACCTTCCAAGGCTAACGGACTCTCCTAATGTCAAAACGGAGAAAGCAACCGAAATAACGGTAGCGAAAGGACTAAACATTGAAACCAAAACCGGTCCACGTTTCTTCATGGCCCATCCATTAAAGCTAACACATGCTCCACTCACTGTCCCTGCCTGACCATTTCAAAAACTATACATTACAACCATAAACCAATTAATTATGCTATGTATACGAATGATTCATTTGAACTTACCAAGACAGAATAACCAACGAGGTTACCGAAACTAATAAATGAGCTGGTAAGTACTCTTGCCTTTCGGTTTTGTAATAGTAATACCACCGTTGTTATCAACACTCCTAGTAATGCCGTTATTGCACTTAACGATATCGGTGCCGGAAACTCTGCCAATGTTGACGCCTACAATAACCGAGTTTTAGAAACCGAACCAAACTTGTTAAGAAGAACCGGGTTGCTTACCTGAAGAACAACGTTGGTAGATAAAACAAAGACGGCTCCAAGAAGGTAGATACATCCGACGACCTTGTCTCGATCAAAGACGAATATTGGAGTATCGTCTTCTTCTTTGTGACTGATCGAAGTGCTGTGCATTATGCTCATGGTTAAAGCGCCGAATACACACAACAATGTCCCTAAGATCTTCAATTTGCTGTACACACATTTCAGATTCATCTTCTCTAACCTATCCATAACAGAAGACACACTTAATGTTGGAACACGTCGTGAAGTCGCATGTTAAAACAAGGATTAAGTGGTTCACCCTACGATCCAAGCGATGAAGAAAATAAGACCAGGAGCGAGATTAGGCATCGCTGTTGCCATTGCTGGTGATGTCAACCTGATTCCTTCTAAAAACAGAGACTGGAACAGAGTAACCCTGAAAAAGTTGTGTTAATTTAAACCAAGGTTTATACTTTTTAACACAAAAAAGAGAGTAAATGGAGATGATGATGCTTACCCTGCAAAGGAGATCAAAACTAACTTACAAATCAGCCTCAAACTAAGCTCATTTGGCCATTGCTTCCTTTAGAACAACAAAAAAACACTTACTATACATGTGAAAAGAACAAGGACACGTTTAGTTTTTTTTTTAGGGTATGTGAAAATGTTATCAGACAGACCTTTCGAAGAGAATGGCGAAAGGCGAGAGGATTATGAAAGTGGCAAAGGTAGAGAAGATGACAATGGTGAAAGGGCCAAGACCAAGTGACATCAAATAACTCATGAGCAAAGAATTGCCTGCGTATACAAATTGAACCATTACTAAACCTCCTACTATCACCATCTCTTCTATCATCTCCTTCTTCATTCTCTCCTCTAGGAGATTAAGCACCGATCGATACAAATTCACACAAAAAAACTGCATGGCAAGAAATCCGTTATAAGCACAATGAGTTAGGATAAGATTGCAATAGAGAGATTCTACCTTCATCCAGAAAATATATCTGGAATCACCATTTTCTTCTTTTCTCTCTCTTTCCTTTACTCTCTCATTATATTCCTCAAGTTTTGCTTCTGTGAAAAAACAGACCCTCCATTGTTGTTCCACCTATATTTGTTACTTCCCAAATAACTTTTATTTCTATTTTAAGCCATTTTTATCCCAACCTTCAATCTCACCAAAACTGCTCTGCAATAAAAGTTACCAAATATTTGGAACTTTTGATTATATATAATATTGCATCATGGACCAATCTGTTTAAAAGGGTAAAAATATCAAATGCTAAGAACTGTGTCAAATGCTTTTCCGACAAGGAGTCATGTTGGTTCCACTTCCTCTTCGAACTCATGGACCACCATAGTTCCTGCTCTGGCTCGGTTCGGTTCCATCGGCGTATTACGCGCTGCAGTTGAATTGATCAATGACGGCGAAAAGCCAGATGCTTCTCCACTTGTTCACTTGCTCCGTGTCTCCGGCAATTATGGCTACGTTTCTTTGTGTCAGCAGCTTCATGGTTACGTCATAAAACATGGGTTTGTTTCAGATACGCGTCTTTCCAATTCGCTGATGAGGTTTTACAAGATAAGTGACTCGTTGGAAGATGCTCACCAATTGTTTGATGAAATGCCTGACCCAGATGTCATTTCTTGGAATTCGTTGGTTTCTGGTTACGTTCAATCAGGAAGGTTCCAGGAAGGACTCTGTTTGTTTCTCAAGCTCCACAGATCTGATGTTTTGCCTAACGAGTTCTCTTTTACAGCCGCTTTAGCTGCTTGTGCCCGACTGAATCTCTGGCCACTCGGAGCTTGCATCCACTCCAAGATTGTCAAACTTGGCTTAGAGAAAGGCAATGTTGTTGTGGGTAATTGTCTAATTGACATGTACGGGAAATGTGCTTCCATGGATGATGCAGTTTTGGTATTCCAACACATGGAAGAAAAGGACACAGTTTCTTGGAATGCCATTGTTGCTTCCTGCTCAAGGAACAGTAAGCTCGAGCTGGGGCTTTGGTTTTTCCACCAAATGCCAAATCCAGACACTGTAACATACAACGAGCTCATCGATGCTTTCGTCAAGTCTGGAGATTTCAATAATGCCTTTCAGGTTCTATTAGATATGCCAAATCCTAATTCATCTTCATGGAACACAATATTGACCGGCTATGTAAACAGTGAGCAATCAGGAGAAGCTACTGAGTTTTTCACCAAAATGCATTCATCGGGAGTTGGATTGGATGAGTACAGCTTGTCAATAGTTCTGGCCGCCATTGCTGCTCTCGCTGTGGTTCCATGGGGGAGTCTCATCCATGCTTGTGCTCTCAAGCTTGGCCTAGACTCTCGAGTTGTTGTCGCGAGTGCTCTGATAGATATGTATTCCAAATGCGGAATGTTGAAGCACGCTGAGCTGATGTTTTGGACAATACCTAGAAAGAATCTGATTGTGTGGAACGCGATGATCTCTGGATATGCCCGTAATGGCGATTCAAACGAGGCGATCAAGCTCTTTAACCAATTGAAACAAGAAAGGTTACTGAAACCTGATCGATTCACGTTCTTGAATCTCTTAGCTGTGTGTTCTCATTGTGAAGTTCCTATGGAAGTCACGCTTGGATACTTTGAGATGATGATCAACGAGTATGGAATCAAACCAAGCGTAGAGCATTGCTGTTCTATTATCAGAGCTATGGGGCAGAGAGGAGAGGTTTGGCAGGCAAAAAATGTGATTCAAGAATTCGGTTTTGGGTATGATGGTGTGGCTTGGAGGGCGTTACTTGGTGCTTGCAGTGCTTGCAAGGATCTGAAAGCTGCGAAAACCGTCGCCGCAAAGATGATTGAATTAGGGGAAGCTGATAAAGATGAGTATGTATACATAGTGATGTCGAATCTCTATGCTTACCATGAGAGATGGAGAGAAGTTAGTCAAATTAGGAAGATAATGAGAGAAAAAGGGGTAACGAAAGAAGTCGGGTCTAGCTGGATTCAAGGGCAAAATGTAGCAGTACAGTTTTAGTATCTTTTAAGTTTTGAGCTGCTGGTTATGTAAACGCAATGTCAAACTAGTCATGAAATCAAACATGAGGCTAGTTTCTGAAAGATGAATCGTGTAAAAAGAAGAAATAGTATTACATTTTTTTTCCCTTCATGAATCAAAGAACATGAGTTTGGAGTCATAACAAAAACAACAACTTCTTGTCTCTAAGTTGATAGAAGAAACTTGGCTCCCTCAATAGTAATACTCTTCATGAATGTATCTTGTCACCTTGGGACTGAAAGACCCATCTCTATAATAGTAAACAGAAAGAGAAATAAGGATTAGGGCAGAAATAGAAAACTGATGTTTACAAAGTAAAAAGAAAGACGGATGCTTCGGGGTTATTGACTTCATGGTAAGAATCTTTAAACAATGCTAAGTGAATCAGATGAACAGTAAACTAGTCAAGCTATCTCATCTAAAATAGCTTCCTAAACTCTAAATTATCACCAAAGCATTGTTGACAGAGCCCACCTTTAAAAACAACTGCAAATACGTCTCACGTGTCATCGATTCCATCTGGGACAAAGAGCACTTTTACAAATTACTAGAGTATTTTTGCCACTCTTATACACAGATCATGAACTAACTTCCCTAGACTGGCATTCATAGAGAAAAAAAAAAAACAAGAAACACAATGACAATCTGAAGCATCTAACATTCAAATTCCACCTTCTTCAGGATTTACCCTATAGCTTGTATTCGAATATTTCATTTGGATTACTAGGAACTCAAAAAAGGTTCGTACTTGATAAAGATGCAAGGATCCCACATGGTAACGGTGAAATTATGTGCCTGCATGAACCAAGTACTCATAATTAGACAGACACAATGGCACTGAAGCTCAAAACTCTTTCACAACTCTAGAAACTGATTCACGCAGCCTATAAGTTTTGCTAGGGCCAATCCTCCTACTTGTTATGACTCAAAACATTAAACCTATCAACATTACAGGATACAACTATTTCGCCAAGCAAGAAAAGTCATAAGGCCAACAATAAACATAAACAAGGAAGAAGTTTACAACATTTCATGTAAGCAATCAAACAATTCATCAGAGCTTCTATAAATGTGATCCTTTCCTTACATCAATCTAACGTCCTCACATGTAAAGCACCTTAATAAAGGTTTCAGCTTTCTAAGTCTAACAAACAAAAACGAGTGCTAAGACCAAAACCCTGTATAGGCATCATGGATAACGTGCAATACCATAAAAGTGTCAAACTTGAATGTAAACTCACTCATCATCAGGTCAGAAGAATCAAGACTCAAAGAAAGAAGGACAAAAAATGTAGAGAAGAAAGCAAAAAAAAGCAGCTACTCACAAGAAAGAAAGCAGAAAAGAGAATTAGAGGTCGGGAGAGGTGCAGCAGAGAGTACCCTGAGAGAGAGCTCGGCTGCTTCTGGAAGTTGTGCTAAGGCATGAAGTCAACCGAGCAGCCGCCACCGTGCTGTGAAGCGGTAACAGCGACTGAACACAACCAAGCTCCGACGGACACCTATAATGTAATCACACAGATTCATCAAAGAAATGGCCAAAGGGAAGCAGATACATGGAATTAGACACTAAACATATGCAATTACGCGATTTAATTACAAAAAGCAGACCTGGAAAAGGAGAATCGGGGAAGAGGAGAAGCAGCTGGTTTAGATGGAATACGAAATCCGGCGGATGAAGCAGCAGCCGGAGAAGATCCGGTGCCAATGGGAGAATTTCGAAGTGAAGATCTGATTGCGGATTTGAGAGAAGAGACGGAGGATCTGCTCATGAATCTAGACGCCATTGTAAGAGATAGAAGAAGCCGGAAAAAGTAAGATCGAACTTCGTCGTCTAGAGAGGTTTTATAGGGTTTTAGAACGGACGGAGGAAAGAAGAAGAAGAAGCCGTAATATAAATATATCTCTGTTCTTTTTTTTTTTTAAGGTGTTTGGGAATCTTTCAGATAATTGATGGGCCTTTATGGGCTTTAGGCTCATTAACGAAAAACATTTGAACTCGCTTAATGCGTCGGATGGTTTGTTTTTTTTTTATTTTTTAGCTCTCTCTCATTCGATCCCGAAGATTTCACCGACTAATATCGGCGATTAGATCCGGGTAATCACCGACGAATCCTTTCTGGATTTTGATCTATTTGATCTTGATCCTCTCGCGAAGCTTTTGCAGATCCGTCGATCTCTTTCTGTGATTCTGTGGGATTTAGGGTTAGGGTTTTAATTTCGATTTCGATTTCCTTTGTCAATTTTGATGGCTTCGACTACTGATTTCCTCCTGGAGGATCAAACGGACGAGGATTTCTTCGACAAACTTGTTGATGATTCTTAAATTGAATGAAGCAGGTTTGGGGAACGATGTTGCAAACGAGGGTACAAGTATCTCAAACCCTATCCGTTTCTTCTCTTCCGATCAAATCCTCAAGGCCACGGAGAGTTTCGATCTAAATTTTAACCTCTCTCGTCATAGACTCTTCACCTGGTACAAGGGCGTCATCGAAGGAAGACCTTACGCGATTAAGAAATTCACAGAGTCAGAGTTTACGAAAGATGAAGTGAGAGAGGTTTACAACGACATTGTCTTATCTACTCGAGTAAGCAATCAAAGTAGTTTTCTCAAACTTCTGGGTTGTTCTCTCGAATTTCCTCTTCCGGTTATGGTGTTCGAATTCCCAGAGAATGGAGTTTTGAACGAGCGAGGAGGTTTTGGTTGCGAGGATGGGCCATTGTTGCCTTGGCTTGTTCGATTGAAGATTGCCAAGGAGGTTGCTATTGCTGTGACTTATCTCCACACGGCTTTCTCTAGGATTATTATACATAGAGATATCAAGCCGACGAATGTTTTTTTGGATAAGAATTGGACGGCTAAGCTGACTGATTTCACGTCTTGGATTGAAGATGAGGTGATGGGAACTTTTGGATATATGGATCCGGTTTACTACTTCACTGGTTTAGTGACAGAATATACAGATTTAGAACCGAAAGCGGTCTTAATCAATCTATCAGTATGTTGCAAACGAGGGTACAAGTGGTTCGGTGGAAAAGAAGAGCCTTCTTCATCTATTGCTCCGGAAGCTGTTCAATTTGTCAACAGTGATGCAAATAAGTTAAGGGATGATGATGATGTGGTGAGATCGGGGGTGGATGATATGCCACTAACTGAAACAGCAAAAGAAAGTAATATAGTCGATGGATCTGGGAGTCCTGGGGTTAAGGAGGTTGGTTGGGGCTCGTTTTATGCCGATTCATCTGTAAATGACGGTTGTGGGTTTGGTTCATACTCTGATTTCTTCACTGAGTTGGATGGAACTGCAGGGGATTTACAGGGACAGGCCGAGGTAGCTTTGGCCACTGGAGGCAACTTAGTAGCCAATGCAACAAGTGTTGGTTTAGATAATTCGGCAGGGTTTGAGCAACACCAGGGTCAAGTGCAACACGATTCTGGAAGCGGGCAGTATGTGGATAATAGTCAATTCGGGCAGTATGTGGATAATAGTCAATCTTGGGAAAATCTCTATCCTGGATGGAAATATGATGCGAGTACTGGTCAATGGTATCAAGTTGATGGTCATGATGCAAGCGTGAACTCACAGGAGAGCTATATAAATTCAACAAGTAACTGGGAAAGCGTTGCTGTTGATAACTCGGATGTTGCTTATCTGAAACAGAGTACAACATCTGCAGCGGCTGGAACAGCTGAGAGTGTGTCTACTTGGAATCAGGTTTCACAAGTGAGCAATGGATATCCAGAACACGTGATCTTTGACGCTCAGTATCCTGGATGGTACTATGACACTATTGCTCAAGAGTGGCGCTCTCTGGACAGCTACAACCAGGCTTCTCAAACAACTCTAACTGGTCATGACCAGCAAGTTCAGAATGGTCATGCTCATACAGCTACCTAACACAGTAATAGCCAGAGTAGTATGTATGATGTTAACGATAAAAACCAGACTTTCAAAGCGCAAGAATATGCTAATCAGAGCCAACATGGAAGTTGGGACCAATCTTACTTGGCAATCAGTAAATGTAGGTCAGGCTGAGCCTGCTATAAATTCTGATTCATTATGAAGCTTCGGAGGAAACCAGCAAGTAAATAATGTGTACAGTACAGAACCTGTGGCTGAACAGTTTAAGCCAAATGCGATTGGAGCGTAGAGCTTCATCCCGCAGCATATGCATGTGGCTAGTGTCACACAGAATGGACCATTGAGTTTCTCAAACGATGTCTATCAAACGTCGTCTATCAGTCTTTTCAGAACAATCAGCTTTTCTCCCCAAGTGCGGGAAGATTCTGATGGTCGTCCACCACATGCACTTGTCAGTTTTGGATTTGGTGGGAAGCTCATTCTTTATGAAGGATATAAATGGTTCTCTGCAGAATTCATCATTTGGAAGTCAGGTTAGTCCTTAAGTGTGAATTTTCATTTGTTTATTTTACACCCTGGGAAGTTTATGAAGCTACTGTAGAGCTATCACTGATTTTTTTTGCTTATCATTGAACATGTATGAAATATGTTGTCCAATTATAACCTCAATAAGTGAAATTTATTTCTGGTTTAACTGCTGATATATCTCTATCTGATGAAAAGGGAATTGGGGGAAGCTCCGCCTCTGTCTTAAACTTGGCAGAAGTTATTTCTGGGAGTGCCTCTTATTCCAGTCAAGGGGAAGACTCTTTGAGCTACTTTCGTTACCTGCATCAACAATCTCTTCTAGGTCCTTGGTAGGAGGAAATGTTGGAAGTAAAGAGTTGCATAAGTGGCTTGATGAGAGAATTTTGAATTGTGAATCTTCCTATATGGATTTTGCAAGAGGGAAACTCTTAAAGATGCTTCTTTCTTTACTCAGAATATCTTGTCAGTATTATGGGAAACTCCGTTCTCCTTTTGGTACTGATGCATCGCAAAAGGTGAGCAATCCATGAGATATCTTGTCACTTTTTATTTTTAGAAACATTGATATGTATTACAATTTTCTCATTCTTGTATATACACTGCAAACAGGAAACGGACTCTGCTGAAGCAGCAGTCGCTAAGCTTTTTGCATTTGCCAAGAAAGATGGCGTACAAAATGGTTATGCTCCTATTTGCCAATGCTTGCAGCATTTACCACCTGAATCACAAATGCAAGTAAATAATTTGTACAGTACAGAACCTGTGGCTGAACAGTTTAAGCCAAATGCGATTGGAGCGCAGAGCTTCATCCCGCAGCATATGAATGTGGCTACTGTCACACAGAATGGACCATTGAGTTTCTCAAACGGTGTCTATAATAGACAGCAATCTGTAGATGATGCTCATCAGTCTTTTCAGAACAATCAGCTTTTCTCCCCAAGTGCGGGAAGATCATCTGATGGTCGTCCACCACATGCGCTTGTCAGTTTTGGATTTGGTGGGAAGCTCATTCTTATGAAGGATATAAATGGTTCTCTGCAGAATTCATCATTTGGAAGTCAGGTTAGTCCTTAAGTGTGAATTTTCATTAGTTTATTTTACACCCTGGGAAGTTTATGAAACTACTGTAGAGCTATCACTAATTTTCTTTGCTTATCATTGAACATGTATGAAATATGTTGTCCAATTATAACCTCAATAAGTGAAATTTATTTCTGGTTTAACTGCTGATATATCTCTATCTGATGAAAAGGGAATTGGGGGAAGCTCCGCCTGTCTTAAACTTGGCAGAAGTTATTTCTGGGAGTTCCTCTTATTCCAGTCAAGGGGAAGACTCTTTGAGCTACTTTCGTTGCCTGCATCAACAATCTCTTCCAGGTCCTTTGGTAGGAGGAAATGTTGGAAGTAAAGAGTTGCACAAGTGGATTGATGAGAGAATTTTGAATTGTGAATCTTCCTATATGGATTTTTCAAGAGGGAAACTCTTAAAGATGCTTCTTTCTTTACTCCGAATATCTTGTCAGTATTATGGGAAACTCCGTTCTCCTTTTGGTACTGATGCATCGCAAAAGGTGAGCAATCCATGAGATGTCTTGTCACTTCTTTTTTTTAAGAAACATTGATATGTATTACAATTTTCTCATTCTTGTATATACACTGCAAACAGGAAACGGACTCTGCTGAAGCAGCAGTCGCTAAGCTTTTTGCATTTGCCAAGAAAGATGGCTTACAAAATATATGCTCCTATTAGCCAATGCTTGCAGCATTTACCACCTGAATCACAAATGCAAGTGAGTATTGGACATCAAATTCCATATACTCTTTTGAGGACGATTTGTTTTTCCTGATTAACTCGTGGAAGAATTCCCCAGGTAACTGCTTCAGAGGTCCAGAATCTTCTGGCTTCTGGTAGAAAAATGGAGGCTGTACAATGTGCACAAGAAGGCTATTTATGGGGACCAGCGCTTGTTATCGCGGCACAACTTGGGGATCAGGTTCTTTTCCCTTGATTGCTATAGAACTAAACATTCCACTGTATTGCTTGGTTAACTGACTTGGTGATATCTTAAATTGCAGTTCTATGTAGACACTGTGAAACAGATGGCCCTTTGCCAGCTGATACCAGGGTCACCTTTACGGACATTGTGCCTACTGGTTGCAGGACAACCAGCTGAAGTGTGTCCTGCTGGAAGTAGTAGCATGCTTGACAATTGGGAAGAGAATTTGGGTATAATTACTGCTAACAGAACCACCGATGATGAGCTTGTGATTACTCATCTTGGAGATCGCATGTGGAACGATAGGAGCGAGGTGGTTCTCTGACTTGTTGTATTGTTTTACTTCATGGAAGATTTTATCATGACATTTGAACTACTGTTATGAATCAGATAATTGCGGCGCATATTTGCTATGTAATCGCGGACAAGAACTTTGATCCATACTCAGAAAGCGCCAGACTCTGCCTTGTCGGAGCGGACCATTGGAAATGTCCTCGAACATACGCAAGTCCAGAGGCTATACAGGTGAATTTTTCATCACTGTGTTTTAGTTATCATAATACTGTAGATGGAAGATTCTATTTTGAGCCTCTTTATGAATACCCTCCATGTTTCTCAAATGTGTTGTATAGAATCTCCAACGAAATTCATTCAGGGTACCATTCTTTTTCTTACTTGGTTGATATTCCCTTGATTTGTGGGTTGATCTTTGCATGGGCAGAGGACAGAGTTATATGAATACTCTAAGACGCTGGGAAATTCTCAGTATATCCTGTTACCGTTTCGACCATTTAAAATCATATATGCCCATATGCTGGCTGAAGTTGGTAAACTTTCGACTGCACTGAAGTAAGGAGATTCACTTTCCATCATCTACTCCTTTGTTAGACTGTATAATGGCTTCCTGATGTCGTTTGTGTTGTGGCTGAATCAGGTACTGTCAAGCAGTATTAAAATGCCTCAAGACAGGCCGATCACCAGAAGTGGAAATGTGGTAACAGTTTGTTTCATCTCTTGAAGAGAGAATCCGTATCCACCAACAGGTACAACTTACACAGCTTCTAGTTACATGGAACAGTTGATATTTCGGGTGGGTTTACATCTGTTAGCTGTCTTTTCCTTTAAGTGGAATGGGGAAGTTTCCAGAAAAAAAAAATGCAACAGTGAAAAGTATTTACATCTGTGAGTTGTACTTTGACATCCATAAAACGGGAACCACGGAAAGCTTCTTTTTTACTTATGATCCGACTGATCGGACATTTCTATTTCAGGGCGGGTATACTGCGAATTTGGCCCCAGCAAAACTTGTTGGAAAGTTCCTGAACTTTATTGATACTACAGCATCTCGTGAATCTGCTAACTGGAATGCACATTGCTCCAAGCCATGTAAGTGATTCTTTTTAAGTCCTCTCCTCTCTTGACTTTGTGATTGTAATCATTAGATTCTCTGTCATTGTCAATTTCTTGCAACACAAGCCAAAAACCAAAGCCAGTTTTTCTTCAGTTTTATGGTTTGGTAGATTCGTGATTGTTATTTTCCTAAATTTGAACTTCTCTTTTTCAAAATCAAAACTTCAATTTGGTTTTTCATCAAGCAAATACGAAAGCCTTCTTTTCTTAGTTGTGTTATTGCATCTTAGGGTTTTCAATTTCTATACTTGTGTTTCTCTTTAAAGATTTTACGTTGTTGTTTCAAATTGAGTTTCTGATTGTTTTGTTTCTGTAAATCAAAAGCCCTCTTTTTGTTTTGTGTTTTCTTCTTTCTCGTGGGGCTTTTTTTTTCTTTCTTGATTATAGTTTTCTTAAATTTGAAACCTTTTTTGCAAATTTAGAGTTTCGATTGATTTTTTTATATATTTTCATAAATCAGAAATCCCTCTTTTGAATTCCAGTTTTGTTCTGTTTCGAGGGATTTTTGCTTCAAATTTTTGTTTGTTTAAAGTTTTTCTGTTTTCTTCAAACCCAAAAGAAAGGGACTACACATTATATGATTGTGTCTGTCCGGTTTCTAACTTGGGGAGATGTTGCCTATGTAAAACAAGCAGGATGTGATTAAAAATCTGTAAGACTTGTAAAATTATGTAAGACAAGCATCATTTTGATGGAAATCTGTAAGTCTTGTTAAATTATGTAATGCAAGCAGCATTTTGATTGAAATCTGTAAGACTTGTCTAATATTTAAGACAAGCATCATTTTGATTGAAATCTGTGTAATTATGTAAGACAAGCAAGGTTTGATTGAAATCTGTAAGTCTTGTTAAATTATGAAAGACAAGCAAGATGAGATTGAAATCTGTAAGACTTGTCTAATTATTTAAGACAAGCAAGATTTTGATTGAAATCTGTAAGACTTGTCTAGAAGTGCCTTCATTAAGGCTTTTCTAGTGATGTCCTAAGAAGGATAAATTCAATGATCTGCTGTAAAATTCAATGATCTGCTTATTGATGGGGAGAAATTCAATGATCTGCTTATTGACGGGGATAAATTCAATGATCTGCTTTAAAACTCAATGATCTGCTTATTGATGGAGAGAAATGCAATGATCTGCTGATTAATGGAGATAAATTCAATGATCTGCTTATTGATGGGGAGAAATTCAATGATCTGCTTATTGACGGGGATAAATTCAATGATCTGCTGTAAAATTCAATGATCTGCTTATTGATGGGGAGAAATTCAATGATCTGCTGATTAATGGAGATAAATTCAATGATCTGCTTATTGACGGGGATAAATTCAGTGATCTGCTTTAAAACTCAATGATCTGCTTATTGATGGGGAGAAATTCAATGATCTGCTGATTAATGGAGATAAATTCAATGATCTGCTTATTGATGGGGATATAAATTCAATGATCTGCTTATTGATGGTGATAAAACTCAATGATCTGCTTTTTGATGGGGAGAAATTCAATGATCTGCTGATTAATGGAGATAAACTCAATGATCTGCTTATTGATGGGGATATAAATTCAATGATCTGCTGATTAATGGAGATAAACTCAATGATCTGCTTATTGATGGGGATATATATTCAATGATCTGCTTATTGATGGTGATAAAACTCAATGATCTGCTTTTTGATGGGGAGAAATTCAATGATCTGCTGATTGATGGAGATAAATTCAATGATCTGCTTATTGATGGGGATAAATTCAATGATCTGCTTATTAATGGAGATAAACTCAATGATCTGCTTTAAAAACTCAATGATCTGCTTATCAGTTGAATGGATGAAAATGCTTAAAAACATGTAGTTAATCCTTTCTGCCTAGCTCTTGAAGCTATTTCTGTTAGCGAAGGCACATCATTGTGCAACGCTTTATGGGTTGAGGCTCGAGCAATGCACTAAAGAGAAAGAGAGAGATGAGGCACTAAAGGCAAATCAATATACATCTTACTGCGCATAAAAAAAGTCTAACGTGCAGAATTTTAATCAGGTAAGGGTCTCTTTCGTCTTTTAAAACAAGGTATGATCTTCATAATACTTTTCCTTGATGGATTTTCTAGTTCGTTAATTGATTACATCTTTTGATCACGTAGTCTTTTATAACTATTTGACTATGGGTGAATATTTATCTTTCTTTTTTAGCTTCAGAAGACCAAGAAATGAAGTGTGTATACGTGATCGTTCTCAGGTTCAACTTCTCTCCCTCGGTTTGAAATATTATGGTGTTACTTGTTGTGTTTGAATACTTGATAGTATTGGCATTTTGGTAAACTCCGGTGCACAACAAGATTAGATGAATGAACAGGTATGTATTCGTATCTCATAACTGCTTGTATGTAAGAGAGAATTTAAATTTATATATTTGAGTCCTATATCTGTTGTTTATAAGAGAGAATTTCATCTTTATAAGATTTATTCTCTCTGTCCCCGTTTCAGCAACTTTTGTCTGCAAACAAGAAAGCTTTGCTTTCTCAGGTACGTCCTCTGTATATTGCTTTGATATGTAATTGTATTAATTAGTGGTTGCGTTTAGCTTTTTTTAGTAGTTGCATGAGTTCGTCTAGGGTTTGAGTTTAGACACTATAGTGGGAGTCGTAGGTGATATCTCATTATTGTTCAATACCCACATAGTTTATTGTTGGCCTAGAATCAATGAATTTGTGACTAATACTCTATACTTATTAGTTTTTACATTGAACTTGTAAGACTTAAATAAAGCACGGTTTGCACGTCTTAGCTGCCAATTTGCAGAATCAAAATTTTAAAATTCTGTTTATTTGCAGAAACCATAAAGAATGTATTGTGTACATAGATAAGATGTAAGTATTTTCTTGTAAGTTTTATTTATGTCAAAGACTCTTAATCGTACATCTGATATGTTTTTCAAATAAGGCATCTTTGGTTGTAGTGTAGTGTACATGAATTCTCTTATCAATATTATAGTGTTGTTGCTTGCGTTTTAATTGATCTAGTGGACAATGTTCGATTTTTAACCGGAAAATTTAGTAGGTTCTGATCAGATAATTTGTTATCCCTTAACCAAAGTTGTAATTCATATATTGTTTATGTTGTTGCAAAATCGATATCTCATGTTGAAAAATAGTTCTATGATTTATTTTTGTCGTACTATACTCATATATGGTTTATATCAAACTTGCAGGAAGCCAGGAACTAAAGGTTATCTCTCCAAGTCCATGCAATTCTAAACATCTGACTTTGCCATCCATTGTCGTCTAAAACCTCAATTCTCTTCTTTGAAACCAAAGGTATAGCCTATAATCATCTTGAGGTCCCTACTTACATCTGGTACAGTGTTTTTTTCAGCCGTTGGATATATTTTTAAGCAAAGCTTAACTCTTTGATTCTTTAATCAGAGCCATGATTGGAGCTTTTGTGGCGTGCGTCGTCTTCAAAACTCCTATTTCCAAGTAAGTAAATTTCTAAGTTTACTTAAGACATTTATGCATGAACGTTTTTAGAAAACCAAACCTCAATTAAGCACCCACATCTTTAGAGCACACTGATACAAATAATCGCATAACACGAACACATACACTAAACGTAAACATACACACAAACGTTAACTTTTGTGCTCACACTATTACAAACATAAATGCATTACACGGACACATACTCTAAACGTAAACATAACTTTTGTGCTCACAAACATGAACATACTAACATATTTTAATGCAACACAATTGCAAATGCAATTGTTTATGATGTATGATGACCGAGTGCTAAACATAAGTTTATGAGATTACGTACTAACCCTCTGTTTATATAAGAGGCTTATTATGTACAATTTTTCATTTCTATAATCTTAAAAGTCTCGGTACGACTTCATTTTTCAATTTGTGACATGGAATCAGAGCCGTGAAAAAAGCTCTCTTTCATTCACACATTTTCTCTTTGATTCCTTGGAACTTTTCCAAGGATCACTCTCTATTCTATAATCATATATAGGATTAGAGGTAAGCTTGGCCCTTTGGTTACTCGGATCGGTTCCATTCGGTTCTTGAGATTTAGGTCTTATTCGGTTAATTTTTTGGTTCGGTTTCGGTTCCGGTCCTTTCGGGTCCGGGTTGGTTACTTTTACTCGAAATTATTCAAAAGTAACCTAAAACCCGAAAGTACCTGAAATACTTTAAAACAAATTGTAACGGTATCAACCAAATTACCTCGTAAATGGGCCGCAAGATCCTAATGGGCCGAGAACTGTAAGCAAACGGTAAGAAATGTCTGAGATGTCATAGGGCCCAGATGAAGGCACATATCGAAGTTGAAAGGCATTCCCGAATGCGTGTAACAGACGAATCTTCCAAGCCGTAATGAAGAGACGTTGATTGCGGAGCATTTAATAGTCCGCGGAAGGCGCTATTCGCGGCGGGAAAATGGTTGCATTTATGAAATATAGTCTAGGGTTCGCATAAAATAGAGAGGGGTCTATATTATAAGGTGGACGAAAAAATCTTCTAAAAAACTATCACGATTAATACTAAACACTTTCAGCTCTCGATTCATTGCTTTACGATTCGAACGTGCTCATCTCACAAGGCCGAGAACCCCAAATTGTCCACAAATTCTTAAGTGCGGATTCCAACATCCATATTTTAGCGCTAGGAGGGGTAGCCCAGTCTCTCACTCTAGCATATCAATTGAATCGCTATGGCAAACATAAAGCCGAAGGATTTGGCTGATAAGTCGTATAAACAGCAGCGCACCATCACTGAACTGTCAAAGAAGTTCATATCGTTTGAGGAGCGTTCAAACACTCAGCTTGCAGTCCTACTTGCAAGTTGCTCCGAGATCGGGTCAGTTCATAATGCTTATGCCGACCGAGTCGACACTCTTACTCTAGGAACTTTGCAAACCTCTGGATCAAGAGGGCGTTTAGAGTTTTACGACCCTATCCACCCAAACCCTCAAGTTTCTCAAACTGATGTTGCTTGTGGAGTACTCTTCTACTGATGCGTCTGAAAGTCACGTCTCTTCACCCACAATCTGGAATGCAACAAGATTTTTCACCCTTCAATCCGGAGATCCAAAGCACGCAGAACCATATCCAAGCAATTAAAGTCCATACGGCCACCAACTCGGCTCCCGAGGTGGACATGGTAATTGAAGAAACATA